CTGTTTTTTTTATCTTTGTTTTTCTTTTTTTTTTTAATTTTACTCCTTGCTTATTTATACAACTTAGAATGGCAAACAAGCTGGCGGCCCATATGATGGAAAGTGGTAACCGTCGCCTATAGACATGAGCAGTACCATGGACATAACAGAGTGTACTGTTTCGCCCATGATACCCCCCATGCGTTGCCATTCCTGAGGACTCAGGTGTTATTACTCTGTACCCAGTAAATTCACGCCATATCCCACCCTTCAAACCGAAACGCAGCCATGCAAACAACTGCTTCACGGTAGAAACACGAATGGGACAGAGGTGGCCAAGCAAACGACTTTTGTACAAAGTCTCCCTCTGGTGATTTAAACAAAATTCATATACAACTACGGGTAAACTGACTGGATATAGCTAGTAAAGGGTTTTTAGGGGCGCAACACGTGGCTGGTTAATATTTAATTAACATAATTTATATAAATTTAACAGATTCAGTTATTCACTTTAATCGAATGATCGTGATTGCCACCAGAAACTTGGTTTAATATCGCTTGTGGTAATAAATCAATTATTTGATCATCCTCACTTGTCTCTGTGAATGAAAGGAGAGCTACCCAATCGTTAATAGATAATTGTGGCTTCACTATTGATCGGTTTTTCATTCAAGAAGCGTGGATACGAGGCATTTACGTACAATATTACCTAACCTATATATATATATATATATATATATATATATATATATATATATATATATATATATATATATATATATATATATATATATATATATATATATATATATATATATATACATACATATATATATATATATATATAGATATATATATATGTTAATGTTGATTAACCGGGATCTGAAATGGGCGTTCGTTCGTTCATTCATCATTGTTAACATACGTTATTTGTATATTGTAAGCTTAAATTATATAGATAGATATATGTCTCCATACAAATGCTTCGAGAAAAGCGGATCAACTTTTTCATACAATTTTGCGTGATAAATAGTTACGAGTGATTCCTTTATAACTTCTACATTTACATCGTCTTATAATTATTGCCTCATTTTAATATTTTAATGCGTAAAAACTCATTATATATATATATATATATATATATGTGTGTGTATGGAACACTGATAAAAAAAAAGTAAAAAATTTGACCTGTTTTCGAGATTTTTAGAGATTTCGATCCTCTAGTACCTATATAATCAACATATAAAAGATATATACACATATATATATACCATCTTAAAACCCTTTTAAAACATTATCAAATAGTCATTGATGATGTTTGAAGAGGGACGCTGCTGCCCATCCCTCGACCATCACATTCCCTTAGTCGCCTCTTACGACACCCACAGAAAAAGAAGGGACGGCCCATTCTATACGGGGATAACACGGCGATATTATACATAAAAATATATAATTTCGCCTCATAATATCGCATATATATATATATATATATATTAGCATAAATGCACCTATTTTTTATCATTATTATAAGTACATTTTGTACACAAAAATACTTGAATTTTGAATGCGTAAATCTACTTAATAGAATTTGCTTTACCAAATTTTTTTGCTCCGCACACAATAATGGCCGCTTCGAACATCACAAAATGTGTACGGGAGCAAAACGAGAGTTAACATAACGTGACGACGCGGCCCATTTGTTGAAATCCGTCGAGCCATTTAAACAGCACATTGTGCCAAATATGCGAACATATAAAATACAAGCGAACCGACCCGGCTTCGCATGAGTAGACAGGATTTTTGTAAATCAATACTGGATAAAATAAAATGAAAAAGTTTCAGCCAATTCATCTGATCGGTCATTTTATAGCATTTTATATGTGATTCTTTAGATGGATATAACTTTTTTTATTTATAAACCGATTGAAATAAAACAAACATTAAATATTATGTAGAGCAAACCGAAACGAATTAAGGAAAACCGTATTCATATTGGCTAATCCATTTCTGAGATTAGCGCGCACAAACGTACAGACAAGCAGACAAAAATTCTAAAATCCTTTGTTTTGGGTTCTATTGTGTTTATAAAGGCTCCCTATAATAGTTTTTCTTATATATCTTTCGTGTACAGACAGTAACCGATCAGACAGTCGTTTGCTTGGGTACATCTGTCCCGTACGTGTTTCAACCGTAAAGCAGTTGTGTTTGCATAGCTGTGTTTCGGTTTGAAGGGTGTGATATGGCAGTGAATTTACTGGGTACAGAGGAATAACACCCGAGTCCTCAGGAATGGCAACGCATGGGGGGTATCATGGGTGAAACAGTATACTCAGTTATGTCCATGGCACTGCTCATGTCTATAGGCGACGGTCACCACTTTCCATCAGGTGGGCCGTCAGCTTGTTTGCTAAGTCTAAGTTGATTAAAAAAAGAAAAGAATATACCATTTGTTGAGGTTTTATTTATGTTACTTTTAAAAATAGAACTTATTCATTTTTTCTTTTATGTCAATGAAAATTAAAAAAAAAAAAAAATTTGTTTATTAGAGATACGTCATTATTTTTAAAACATCTATTATTGTACTAGGGAACAATATAATATATCTTTATTCAGTCTCTTATATTTTTTTTTTTACAACACAGTGGGCAAACGAGCATGCGGCTCACCTGATGGTAAGTGACTACCGCCGCCCATGATCACCCACAACACCTACGGCATTGCAGGTGTGCTGCCATTTTTATTGTTTTATCCAACGAACCCTTCACACCATTGTTTAGGTAATTAATATGTCGTCCAATCAACCCCATTCCACTAACGTGAGCGTGATAATATCAAAGGAAAACAGAAATGTGTCATAATAACCAGATAGTAGGTAAGAGCTCAGCAGGCTTGGCTTTTACATCAAATTGAAAACAGTAATATGAAATGAAAATTATTCGACTCTAGACTTCATTTCAAGAGAATTAATATATCATTACTAATTAATGAGACTGTCTGTCTATCCGCCTGTTAAATTCTCACAGTTAAAATGATTCTGACATAATTCAGTGTTTCTCTAACATTTTCATGGCGCGACTCCTTTAGTATGTAAAAAAGAGCCCTTACCCTCCACGGTTACTAACCTGTAAGTAATTTAGTATTATATTTATTTATTTAACTCTTTATTGCACCATAAACATTTATAAAGACAATTGAATAATTCAAGTGAAATACAGTAACATAAATACAGATTGAAATATATACATAAAGGTACAAAAGGCGGTCTTATCGCTAGGGCGATCTCTTACAGACAACTTTTTGGTTAAAGGAGAACAGATAGAAGTGGTTAGGTGGCGCAAGAGTGAATTAATAATTTTTTTTTATACAACTTAGAATGGCGAACAAGCTGACGGCCCACCTGATGGAAAGTGGTAACCGTCGTCTATAGACATGAGACAGTACAATGGACATAACAGAGTACACTGTTTCGCCCGTGATACCTCAGGTGTTATTCCTCTGTACCCTGTAAATTCACGCCATATCCCAACCTTCAAACCGAAACACAGCCATGCAAATACAACTGCTTCACGGTTAAAACACGAATGGGACAGAGGTACCCAAGCAATCGACTTTTGTAATTTTTTCATGTATAAAATACAAAAACTTATAATGCACAAAAATATCAAATACATATAATTTATTATTGCCGTGTGGTCCCGGCATAGAATAGGCCACCCCTTCCTTTCCCGTGGGTGTCGTAAGAGGCGACTAAGGAGGACGAGGGATGGGCAGCAGCGTCCCTCTTAAAACGTCTCCGAAGCCTAACTGCGGTTATCAGGGGGACAGGGATTATTAGTAATGGAGACTAAGAATCCCATTGATAGCAATATACCCACCCAGGTCGACCTCCTCGCGGTTCTCCCTGGAAACTATCATGGTTAATTCCTGATGAATTCATCATGATGGGCTAACTTGCCTGTTTTCATCGATCACCCTTCACTGGTGCTCGGCCAGCGTATCCCGTTAGCGCAGGCGGGGCTACCATACCATTTTCACCCATCACAAAAAAATAGATTGTATTGCACAACAAAAATACTGACTTCAATCGTGGCTAAAACCAGCTATTTTGATTTAAAAACTAAATTACTGAAACGATTTTGATGAAATGTCAATCAATGAGATCAATCTTTTCAGATCTGAAATATACGAAAGTATAAAAAAAAACATTCAAATCGGTTTATAAACTACAGAGTTACAAGGTATATACATATATAACCGAATTGGGAATCTCCTCCCTTTTTTAATATCAGTTGAATTAATATTAATAAATATTAAAAATAAATAAAAAATAATAATATTTATTTTCAATTTTCGATTCAAATGTAACTTTTATTCTTTTTTTTTTATTTTCATCTTCTATAGATAAAAAAATAAATATAAATATGAAATATAAATAAAAATATGAATAAGTATGTATTAATATCTATTATTACTCGAAATCATCGCCAACTCTGATGATTCTTTTTGTCCCTGCTTTACTTCCTTGTCTGTCTTATACTATAATTTTGTACTTATTAAAGTCTATATTTTTTGTACAATACCTTCTTCATAAGTGTAAAAAAAATTACAAGTTCCTTCTAAATAGTCTACAATTTTTTTTTTATAAAAATACCATAAAAACCTACAACAACATTTCACAACCATAATAATCACTATTTTTACCATAAAAAAAATATATTTCACATAATAACATTATTTATTATGGTAATACAACCCACAAAACGGTGTCATTCTTAAATCTATCGCCAAAAACCTTTCATCTTTATAAAATTGGTAACAAAAAAATTACACAAAACGAAGTATTTTTTTAATGTATAAAAAAAAAACATTTACACCATTAATTTTCTAAACTCCATACATCAAATACAGTTGAAAGTCACGCAAATATTCTTTGTTTAACATGTATTTGGCATAATAAAGATGAGAAGGCAATTAAAACATGCAACTTTCAAAATTGTAAACCTTAATAATATTCGACTTACCCACAACAAGTGAGATTGCTAAGAACACGATCAGAATTATATTGTTCTTCGACATTTTCAACGAGCCACAATTGTTTTGCTTGAAAAAAAAATCTATACCATGGTAGCGGCGAGGCGCGGGCGAACGGGGCGCGCGCTGAACGCGTTCTGAATGTGAAAGGGGCGGCCCGGGTCCGGGGGTGGTCTGTCCACACTACAGCTGAAAATCGAGTGAAAATCCTGCGTGTTTCAAGTGAGATTTGATAATGACTCTTGACGGTGACAGCTGGCTGTTTAAAGAATAGCTTCGTCCTGCTAATCTCATAAATATTGGAAATGCAAAAGTTTTATAAGACGTTTTCAGTGGTACTTATTCACGATCACACGACTGAATGGATTTGAATGAAATTTATCATCTAAACATACAGACATTTTACTTATTATATATATATATATATATATATATATATATATATATATATATATATATATATATATATATATATATATATTTTTTTTTTTTTTTAATGGATGTTAATGGAATAGTATATACCGATACCAGTGTATCTCATAGTCAGTGTAGTGTATAGCTCATGCTATCGGTATACACTGGCGGAGCACCAATGAGGGATGATAGATGAGGATGAAAAGACAGGTCAGTTAGCCCATCGTGACGAATACACTTGGAATTCAGCACGATGGTTTCCAGAGGGGGCCGCGGGGAGGTCGACCTAATAGGGTATATTGCTAGCAATGGGATTGATAATCCGCATTACTAACAATCCCTTCCCCCCTGAATTTATATTTATAATATAATATGTCATTAACTGCTGACTAACTGACATTGAAATAATTGTATTAAACTAAATTCTAACAATTTATTATTTTAAATTATAAAATGTATTAAATATGACATACTATATTTATCTCAGCCGTTAACTGTCCACTGCTGAACATAAGCCTTCCCCATAAGGGGAGTTTTGCCAGTAGTTGCCACGCTTGGCAGGCGGGTTGGCGACCGCAGTTAGACTTTTACAGATGTTTTAAAAGGGACGCTGCTGTCCATCCCTCTACCATGTGCTCCTTTAGTCGCCTCTTACTACACCTACGGGAAAGAAGGGATGGTCCATTCTATGCCGGGATCTATGTTATACGGCGACATACTATACTCGTATACTGTACTATATTATAAACTGTAGCTTCATTTTTTTTTATGATAAAAATGGTCTGGCAATCCCGCCTGCGCTAACGGGATACGCTGGCGGAGCACCAGTGAAGGGTGATAGATGAGAATGAAAACAGGCCAGTTAGCCCATCATGATGAATTCATCCGGAATTAACCATGATAGTTTCCAGGGGGAACCGCGAGGATGTCGACCTAGTTGGGTATATTGCTAGCAATGGGATTCTCAGTCTCCATTACTAACAATCCCTTTCCCCCCCTGTAACTTAATTATTGGTAGTCGTATTGAAAAAAAAAATTAAATTATAATTTGCAGACTTAATATTGGCTCAATATGGAACTGTATATGTATTGCATAAGAACTTTGTCACTACATATTTAAAGTAAATAAAGCATTTATATTCTATTCTCGTTTGTATACAATACACACATAATAGTCACAGCTTATATTTACATGAAATATGTTTTTTTATACAACTTAGAATGGCAAACAAGCTGACGGCCCACCTGATGGAAAGTGATAACCTTCGCCTATAGACATGAGCAGTACCATGAACATAACAGTGTATACTGTTTCGCCCATGATACCCCCCATGCGTTGCCATTCCTGAGGACTCAGGTGTTATTCCTCTGTATCCAGTAAATTCAAAAATATTATCACGTTTACGATCAATAAACTCTTTCGCTGAGTAGATACACTTTTGTAGGCCACTTCGACAAGATTTGTTTGAATTGATCAAGACCTAATTCTTTAAACACTTTAGAGATTGTATTATACAATTTCATACACATATAATAAGATTTTTTTTGATAAACTGCTTTTTTTGTAACACAATTTAAAACTTATTAATTTCGACGAGATAGCAAAAATACCTATTTGTCTGCTTGTTATATTTTATAATAAGCAGCCTTTCTGTTGGAAAAATGTATTTATAAAATAAATGAATTTTAGGGATATATTAATTGTGAGTTGTTTGTGGTTGCTTGTTTTTTTTTTTTTTTTTTTTTGACTGAAACTGTTATTATTATTAATTCGTTGATTGTATCTGACATTGTTTATATGTAAAATTCCTGTCATACCTATTCGACACAATGTAATATTGTTATGAATAAATTGAATTGAATTGAATTGAATACAGCGCTGACAGAAGCCTCTAGGGCAAACCCTTTTATAATAAGCAAAAATGTAATGTTACAAATGAATGATTATTTTTTATGTCTAGAATACTAATACAGATAAACTAGAGAGAGAAAGATGTATAAAAGATATATGTGTGAATTCACAGGGTACAGAGGAATAACACCTGAGTCCTCAGGAATTGTAACGCATGGGGGGTATCATGGGCGAAACAGTATACTCTATGTCCATGGTACTGCTCATGTCTAGATGACGGTTGCCACTTTCCATCAGGTAGGCCGTATATATATATATATACCCCTATCAGGTCGTCCTCCACGTGGTTCCCCCTGGAAATCATAGTAACCTGTATATCTTGTTCAAGTGGTCACCATGTGCCAACTGACCTGTCATCATCCTCACCCCTTCATTGGTGACCCGTCAAAGTATACCGATAACGTAGGCGGGGTTACCATTCCATGTTCACCCATAAAAAAAATACCTATAGCATTAACCTCATGTACCACACTTTATTGGCCAATAAAGTTTAAATAAATACCGTCTTTCAAAAAAAACCGTCTTTCAAAAAAAGCGTACACGCTCACTTTTTATCTTTATCCGAGCAATAAGTGCTTTATATTATTCCCAAATTCGTGTATAATATAGTATATGTCATATATGTGTAAGTGTACAAATACACTTATATATTTATTCGTTTATATATGTAATTTTAGTATGTATATATATTTATTCGTTTATATATGTAATTTTAGTATGTATGTATATCAATAATTAGTAGTACCGCATTCGAGTATTCTGACACTTCCCTATGGTTGACTGGGAGAGAATGCTTTTAGCATTAAGTCCGCCATGTACACATATTTGTACTGATGAATAAATAAATAAATATACAGTACAGTGCGATATTAGAGATTTCCACCTACGAACACACAGGCCGTGGAATGAACTCCCTACCGAGATTTCCCCTAGAGACTACAGTATGGGGTTCTTCAAAAAGGCGTAATCAAATTTCCTACATTGCAAACGCACATGGGCTGCAACAACGTTTTACTAACAGACTGGCCGTATACTTGTTTGTCACTAGTGTAATAATAAAAAAAGTTGAAGGCATTTAACAAACTTATACACTTGTTTCAAGGTACCTACTTGTAAATTTTGTAAAAATATAATATTAAGATAATCTATTTATTTATTTATTTATTTATTCTTTATTGTACACAAAAAATTACAACATATAATATATATATAAAATAAAGATGTACAACAGGCGAGCTTAACTCTGTAAGAGTTCTCTTCCAGCAAACCCTGAGTGGAGAGGAGCATTAATTACCAGCGGGCAGCGTGCGTACAATAATAGGAGGAAACATTATAGATGTTTCTATTAAGAAATAATAAATATGTTGACATATATAAGTAACTCATACAATTAAAATCAAAATACATACATATCTGTATACAATAATACATATACATACGAGTATAATACAGATACTCCGTATTTCTTTTAATTCGAAAATACTTTTTTACGAAAATATGAAGTTTGGAATTACATAAAATATTAACAGAATGTTATTTATAAAGTAATAATAAGATATCGCCATCTATCGGGTTTTTCTGGACTTGTGAATAAAAATACACACATTATACCTACACCATAAAGTAACAAATAATATCTTATATGTTATATAACAGGATTATATCTGTAAATATTACAGCAAGTATTTATTATTATAATATTTAATAAAACTAGATTAATACATTCCTACGTAAAGATATTGTTTACATTAGTAATACTAGAAAATATAACTAGATGGCGCTGAAACAGTTTTCGCCATTTGAAAATTCTGCCATCTCCAGTCTAACTTTGAAAAAGATTATGCATATTATAACTGAATTAGAACAATTATAATTCATTTATATTTATTTTTCTTTATTAACCAATGTAACAGTTTTCGTCACACTATGGCAAATCAATATTTACATTATAATTTTAGCTTGCTTGCCATTCTAAGCTGCATAAAAAAAGATCTATTTTTTTTTGATGGGTGAAAATTGTATGGTAACCCCGCCTGCACTAACGGTATACACTGGCGGAGCACCAGTGAAGGATGATAGATGAGAATGAAAACAGGCCAGTTAGCTCATCATGATGAAATCATTAGGAATTAACCATGATAGTTTCCAGGGGGAACCGCGAGAGGTCGACCTGGTTGGGTATATTGCTAGCAATGGGATTCTCAGTCTCCATTACTAACAATCCCTTTCCCCCCAAAAAAGATCTATTGATCTATCGCATAAGAAGTTAGTTCGGTAATAAAACAAAAATTATGTACGTGGAATATTTAATATTTAAATACAATATTAATACTTCTTTAATTATACAATTGCATAGTAAGGATAGTCTAATATGGAACAGTTATCAATGTCAGCAGCCATCAAAATGTAGCCGCCTTCGCCCCAATCCGTGCCCCAGGAGTTACGGACTATCCAGTACTCCTGGTCATCACGAACGCCGTACCCGATTATTGTTACTCCATGGTTGATGTCCTGACCTTGGCTGTTTAATTTTTAATTTTAATTTTTGTTTTTATATTAAATTATATGCGAGTAAGTCATGATTTTGAGGGGAAAGGGATTGTTAGTAATGGGGTCAAATAGCCCTATTACTAGCATTATACCCTGTCAGGTTGACCTCCACATGGTTCCCCTTGGAAACCATCGTGACTAATTCTAGTTTAATTCGTCACAATGGGCTAACTGACCTGCTTCATCCTCACCTATCATCCTTCACTGGTGCCCCGCCGGTGTATACCGATAGCGCGGATGGGATTACCATTCCATTATCATCCATTAAAAAAATAGCCCCATTGCTATCTGGTCGACCTCCACGCGGTTCCCATGGAAACAATCGTAGTTAATTCTCAATGAATTTGCCACGATGTGCCAACTTTCCTGCACATACCGATAGCGGAGACGGGGTTACCATTCCATTTCCTTCTTGTTAAAAAAAACCTCCATTGCACCACAGAAGTTGACAAAATATATATACAAAATACTTGATTTGCATTTTTTTTATACAACTTAGAATGGCAAACAAGCTGACGGCCCACCTGATGGAAAGTGGTAACGTCGCCTATAGACATGAGCAGTACCGTGGACATAACAGAGTATACTGTTTCGCCCACGATACACCCCATGCGTTGCCATTCCTGAGGACTCAGGTGTTATTGCTCTGTACCCAGTAAATTCACGCCACATCCCACCCTTCAAACCGAAACACAGCCATGCAAACACAACTGCTTCACGGTTGAAACACGAATGGGACAGCGGTACCCAAGCAATCGACTTTTGTACAGTCTCCCTCTGGTAATGCATGCTTATAGAACAGACTTACCATTCAGGATCGTAGTAAATTCCACTTGAGTATTGCTTCATGTTCATATTGACATGAATAGCCACCGCAACCGGTCCGTACTTGTTTAGAGCTACCTTCAAGGAGTTTGGGCTTCTGGGTGTCACACGTGTGAAGCCAACAATCTCGTGTACAGACGACACGTTCTCTAGCTCACAGTAATCGTCCTAATGATGAAAATAAATTATAAATAATTAAAATACATTTTGTCTCTCTTATATATATATATATATATATATATATATATATATATATATATATATATATATATATACAGACATATATATATAAAAAATAGTAATATTATTATATAATTGTGTAATCTTCGTTATTATGTTGTCCTTAGTCCTCAGGAATGGCAACGCATGGACTGTATCATGGGCGAAACAGTATACTCTGTTATGTCCATGGTACCGCTCATGTCTATAGGCGACGGTTACCACTATCTATTAGGTGGGCCGTCAGCTTGTTTGCCATTCTAAGTTGTATAAAAAAAAAACTATATCTAATTTATGATTCGATCAATCTCTTTTCATTTAAAAGTTCCTTCTTGTCGGTGCAACTAATTCATGCATTCTCTTCCAGCCAACTCTATCCCAGACCATATCTTTGTTCTGTCTAAACGACATGACACCTAGTTTTTCTTTTATCAGTCCCATATAGTTATTCCTCGATCTGGTCCTTCCTCTTCTGCCTTCTATTTTACCTTCTACTATGACATTTTAAAAAATCATGTCGTATAAGGTGATCTATTCGATCTCTTCTAATCTAAAAATAAGATCTAATTCCGTGATTATACCATATACTATTTATGCATACCAGTTCCTCATAAGTTCCGTAGTCCTCAGATGTTGGAATACCATTTTTTGCAATATATTCGAACGCCGTGTCCAACATACCACCATTGCACCCCTCATTACCATATCTGCAACATGTATATAAATAATATTAATTAATGTTATGGTATGATTCATCATAACCACAAAGGATCTATGAAATGATGGTATAAGGCAGGGGGAAGCACAAAAGATCCCAATGGGTCGGCGTGCAACAGCTATGCTGACCCCATATGCGAATATAAGATAAGATGGTTCATCACCATAGAATGATTCTATGTTTTAGGTCTTCACCAACCTTATCCATTTAGGCAATCTAAGACCAATTGTACCCCTTTGTCTTGAGGAGAAAGGGATTGTTAATAATGAGGTCGATCAACCCCACTGCTAGCAATATACTCCACTGGGGGAAAAGGGATTGTTAGTAATGGAGACTGAGAATCCCATTGCTAGCAATATACCCAACCAGGGCGACTTCCTCGCGGTTCTCCCTGGAAACTATCATGGTTAATTCCTGATGAATTCATCATGATGGGCTAACTGGCCTGTTTTCATTCTCATCTATCACCCTTCACTGGTGCTCCGCCAGCGTATCTCGTTAGCGCAGGCGGGGTGGGGTTACCATACCATTTTCACCCATTAAAAAAAATATATACTCTATATACTATAAAAATATACTCCACCAGGTCGACCTTTACGCAGTTCCGATTTATTGCTAGATACATCACGGTGGGCTAACTGAGCTACTTCCTCTTCACCTATCATCTCTCACTGGTGCCCCACCAATGTATACCGATAGCGCAGACGGGGTTACCATTCCATTATCATCCCTTAAAAAAATATATACTCCACCAGGTCAATTTCTACGCGATTCCCCCTGAAAACCATCGTGATTAATTCTTGTAGAACTTGTCACAATGGGCTAACTGGCCTGCCTTCATGCTCACCTATCATCATTCACTGGTGCCCCTCCAGTGTATACAGATAGCGCAAGCAGAGTTACCATTCCGTTCTCACCCAATGGAAAAACCCTGTTACCTTCACCAGATCATCGTTCCAGCCTGTCTTTAGATCTTCTGCAATGTTTCTTTTAATGGTGTGACTATGGGAAAGATAATTACTGCGGTACATACCCCCAAGCACAGTCAACAAGTGATTGCTCGCTTAGGTCGAAACTCTTCCCTCCAAGGCTTTTGGCTATAGCTCCTTCCACAGCGGCTGTTGAGGAGAAAGCCCAGCAGGAGCCACAGTGACCCTGAGCTGAAAGAAATGTAAAGGCAAATGAGTTGTTTGTATGCATTGAACACAATGGATACTGACGGTTGCATTACTCAGTACATACATACATACATATCTGTCACGCCTGTCTCCCATTTTTTTTGATGGGTGAAAGTGTAATGGTAACCCCGCCTGCGCTAACGGAATACGCTGGCAAAGTACCAGTGAAGGGTGATTGATGAGAATGTAAACAGGTCCGTTAGCCCATCATGATGAATTCCTTAGGAATTAACCATGATAGTTTCCAGGGGGAACCGCGAGGAGGTCCACCTGGTTGGGTGTATTGGTAGTAATGGGATTCTCAGTCTCCATTACTAACAATCCCTTTCCCCCCCTGTCTCCCATTAGGGTAGGCAGAAACAATGTAACGCCAAATGCTTCGATCCTAACAAACCTCTTCCGCTTCTTCCACATTCATCAATCTTTTCATACACGCTCGCCGGTTATGGGTACTTTCAATACATACTACTCAATACATTATATCTAATTAATTAAGTAATACCATTATTATTTACGTTTTAATAAAATAATTCTAAAACACTTGTCTTAATTTTTTTGTACAACACAGAATGGCAGACAAGTCGAGAGCCCACCTGATGGACAGTGGTAATCGTCGCCTATAGACATGAGCAGTACCATGGATATAACAGAGTATACTGTAATTTTTTTTTGATGGGTGAAAATGATATGGCAACCCCGCCTGCGTTAACGCTCAATCCCTATTACTAACAATCCCTTTCCCCCCACAGAGGCGTATTACCTTCATCACCATATGAGCTTTTCACTGCCCACTGCTGACTGGTTAAATTTAAATATGCACATACACACACAGCCATGCAAACACAATTGCTTCACAACAGTAACTCAAGTAGGGAAGAGGTACCCAAGCAAACGACTTTTGCACAGAACTAAATACTTACATTTAATTGGCCTGATGAATCCTTCAAGTCTTAGATCCAACTCTTTCGGTAACTCTTCCACCAAAGCGTCCACTTGTTCCAACGTATAGGGGAATGGATGTGTGCCTTCAACTTTCTCATGCGGAGCTCTGGTTCCAGTTAAATATTTGAGTTCCTCATCAGTGCGGTCGGAGAATTCGTTTATCGCCATTTTGTAGCTCAAATTCTTCAAATTATGTTCTCTGATGTGTCTGAAATTAAGATGGCTCGTTACAAAATGTATATAACCCCAAACACAAAGAGATTGTTCGCATTATCCGTCCACTGCTGGACATAAGCCTCCCCCATAGACTGCCATAAAGAACGCTCCTAAGCCACCTGCATCCACTGACTCCCTGCAATGCAATTCAGGTCGTCACTCCATCTAGTGGGGGATCGTCCTACACTGCGTTTGCCCGTACAGGGTCGCCACTCAAGAACCTTTCTTTCCCATCGATTGTTGGTTCTACGAGCTATGTGACCAGCCCATTGCCACTTCAGCTTGCTTATCCTTAAAATAAAATTAACTTAACCTCATTGCTAGCAATATACCCTGGAAGACCAACCTCCCCATGGTTCCCCATTGAAACCATCGTACTGAATTCCAGATGTATTCATCACGGTGGGTTAACTGACCTCCGCCTTTTCATCCTCGCCTATCATCCCCCACTGGTGCGTCACCATCATACACTGTTAGCATAGGTAGCAGCATTACATTCTCACCCATTAAAAAACACCAACAAGGTTGTTAAAAAGCTGAATTTAAACTAGGCAAAATCGCTAAATCAAAATCCCATGGAGTTCCATGTATCCATAGAGCAATAAGCTCTGTAGACACATGGCAGATGAGTCCTAAAGAATTAATGCCAACTGCAAAATACGTATAAATATTAATTTATAAATCAATACCAACCTCCAGTTATGTGAGAAAATGTCCTTCCGAAAGTCGTGTTCGCTTTCTATATATTTCTTTTTATGGTGTTGCAAGTAACTAAAAATCAAGTAAATATAAATTATGTATATAACAATACAAATGATAATTTCAGATCGTGCTCTACAAAAAAACTTAGTTATTTTTATTAAAAAATAAAATAGTTTACTTTGGTATTAAAACTAAAATACTGAAGCGATTTTGATAAAATTTCTATAGAACTAATCTAAAAGTATTTCCTATCAAACATATGTACTTGCAGATTAATAAATTAATAGATAGATAAAAAAGAATATATCAAATCAATTCACAACGAGATAAAAATACAAACGAGACAATAAAAAACAAGAGAGATAAAAATATAGTTTATATGTAATCTCGTAAGTCGTAAGTAAGATCTACCATCTTACCTTGTGTATCCTAAGTTGACGTGTGAAGGTATATCAGGATGCAATATCTGTAGATCCTCTTTCAGATTTTTACCAAATTTTGCGTCAAATGTGCAATCTAAATCTGTAATACAATATGACGAGGTTACAATGAAATAATAATAATACAGTAACAGATATGAGTTTACGTAGTAATTTATCTGGCCACAAAACACGACAGATATGGATTTTCATACAACTTTTGCCGACCCTGTCCGCATGTTCCCAGTACGGCAATTTGGATTTATCTCTAAGAAGATTGTCAAAATAATGCTCGCATTTCCAAGCATGTTTGAGAAATAGTGTAAATCCAGCGGTAATATATAATACAGTAAATAATATTATATTACCATTGAATATATACACAACGCCATCTAGTTTCCATACTAAGCAGAACTTGTACCATAGATCTAGTATCTATGATATAAGTTCGCCAGATGTTGCCGTCTCGTTATATCACATGCACGCGGTAGCGATAACCTGTCTAACCATCTGTTCTCCAAGATCTGTTATCTAAGGAAGCTGGTGATCTCCCATTAAATGAAATTCCGAATTTTCGGACTCAATTTCGTGTTTTTGTTCATACTTAAATCGACCCAGCAAATGGAGCTTAACGTTTCGTTCATCATAAATCCAATCCTAACAGTCCAGAGGAACGATATTTTAATATTTTTAATAATTTTAAGCGGCATGTATTACGTAATTTTAACATCAAATTTCTATTTCGTTCGTCCCCGAAATTCCGAAAAATATTTCATGGTAGGCACTCTGATTCCATTTAAAACAAAGACTTACCATCGCTGAGTGTTAAATCTTCAAGTAGCACAGTTGAATTGAAATTATAATAGTTCGTTATTGTATGTTTAAAAATATGTCCGTTCCATGATTTCGATTTTTTACTTTCATACCTAAAAGTTAACCAATTGTGAAATACAAAATACAACAAAAAAAATTCAAATAACTTTATTTTGTTAAAAAAGTAAGATATAAAGGATGGTACACAATATTTAAATAATAGGGGGAAAGGAATTGTTAGTAATGGAGACTGAGAATCCCATTGCTAGCAATACACCCAACCAGGTCGATCTCCTCGCGGTTCACCCTGGAAACTATCATGTTCAATTCCTGACGAATTCATCATGATGGGCTAACTGGCCTGTTTTCATTCTCATCTATCACCCTTCACTGGTGCTCCGCCGGCGTATCCCGTTAGCACAGGCGGGGTTACCATACCATTTTCACCCATCAAAAAAAAAACTTTAAATACGATTCACACTGTTCACCAAAATTTAGCATACAAAATTCATATAATTTTTTTTTATTTATTCAGGTATATAATGGTCATATAATTATGCTATGAATATAAACAAAAACCGAATGTCATATAGAATATTTTACAATGACAACATATTTACTTGTTAATTAATTATACTTGATTATAAAGACTAAAGAGGGCGAGGGATGGGCAGCAGCGTCCCTCTTAAACATCTCTTAAAGCTGACTGCGGTTACTAACCCGCCTGCCAAGCGTGACAACTACTGGCAATACCCCCCAAGGGGGAGGCTTATGTTCATCAGTGGAGAGTTAAAGGCTAGTATGATGATGATGATGATAAAATCAATTCAATTGAGCCCGATTTCAAAATTTCAAATACACATCAACATCGTCTAGGGATATTTTGAATTTTCTCAATTAACAATTAATCAAAACAGAGGATTAACACCTGAGTCCTCAGGAATGGCAACGCATGGGGGGTATCATTGGCGAAACAGTATACTCTGTTATGTCCACGGTACTGCTCATGTCTATAGGCGACGGTTACCACTTTCCATCAGCTTGTTTGCCATTTTAAGTTGTATAAAAAAATTACTAAAATAAAAATACATACATGTTTAATTCAAATATATACAAGTTCATGTTTCAATATATACAGTTAAATAAACTATTAAAATATAATTTAAGATATTTACATGGAAGAGTCATTGTATTTAGTATATTTATTATATTTTATTTTTCTTTAAAGAAATATTGATTTTTTTCTAGATCAGCGAGGAGGAGGATCAAGCGAAAGTCATTAAGCAAAAAAATTATAACTTTTTAATTTCAAAATGGATTTACGCTTAATCTTACCGAGAATCGCTAGATTGGTTTATTTTGTATTCGCAAAATTCTGCAGAAATTAAGTAGTTTGAGAAATTTTTGGAGAAACACTAATTGGACGTGGATAAATTTGGGTATTTTTTGATAGTTTGTACATTATGTTTAAAATTTGTTGTTCTTAATATTATGTTTGTGTACAAGTACAACAAAGAATAGTTTTAGTGTTTAAAAATCGAAAAGGATAACCTAAAAATATGTATATTACTATAAATATTAATATGTATGTATGTATATTACTAAAAATATGTGTATTACTCCTCTCCATCCAAAGGTTGCCTGGAAGAAATCGCTCTTAGCGATAAGGTCGCCCATTGTTTTCTCACTGTGATTATTTCTTGTAATTGTTTATATTTATAATAAGTTTACTATTGTAATCTTTTGGAGGTAACAATAAAGAGTGTCTATCTATGAATGAAATGCGTGAAGTTGACTATAATTTTACAACAAAATCAGATTGAAAGGTCAAACCACGCTATCATATTAGCAGTTAAATGTCCACTGCTAAACATAGACTTCCCATATAATGATGGTTTGGTCAGTAGTTACCACACTTGGCAGGCGGATTGGCAATCGCAGTTAGGCTTTGTTAATGTTTTGAGCAGGACGCTGCTGCTCATCCTTCGACCTATAAGTTCCCTTATTCGCCTCTTACGACACCCACGAGAAAGAAAGTAATGGTCCATTTTATGCCCGGGAGCAGACGGCAAAAATAATTAAAGTAAATTATGATTCCATTCCAAAAAGGTGAAAAGGAACTTGTCTCCGACTGTCTGTCTGTCACACCGCTATATTTGAACACACTTTATTATTGCATCGTACTTACCTTATGGGAACATCTTTTCCATCAGCCAACCTGTACGTCCATAGAGTCTCTTCTACTCGACCGCCCACGATCCCTAAGACAGTCGTCTCACCGTACCAAATTTGGATTTTTCTACCGTCGTACTCCGTTTCACCTGGTGAAAACAGAATTTTTAGGTTATTGTATTCATTTATTCATATACATATTCATTGAATCTTAATATAATAATAGGTTAATTGACATTTAAGTTTCTACTACCGTTTGGCTCCAAGTTTTCCGTGTCTGGCAACAAATTCTCCATCGAACCTTTTAACTTCACTTTGTTACATACAATTTCGTTCTTTAAATCCATAGTGGCTATCGGATGTGTCTGTAATAAATATTTAAATAATCAAAATCATTTAGAATAGAATAGAATAGAAACATTTATTGCCATACAATTACAATATAAAATATAAATAACATATACAAAAAGTGCCCATACTCGGCAAAAGGAACCGGCTCAGCTGATGCTGTGTTGCAGCGCTGGTTTTCAGCCAAGCCCTCTCTTAACAAAACATAACCAAAGTGCAGGGTACCACTGTAAATTACTTCTTACAAGAATTATTTCTCAAATATACTAATTAAAAAAAAAAGGAAGAACTTTTTATTTGTGCCTATATTTGACACATACATGGCTTTTTATGAAAGACGATGTAGTGACAAAAATCGAAAAAGGAATGTTGCGTTGGTTTGGTCATTTGGAGAGGATGGATGAAAGAAGAATTACGAAAGAGATTTATCGAGCAAGAATGAATGGAGATGTCGGTAGGGGCCGCCCTAGGCGGACGTATGTCAACCAAATAGGCAACGTGCTGAAGAAGGGCCAAATTAAAAGTACCCGTAACCGGCGAGCGTGTATGAAAAGATTGATGTATGTGGAAGAAGCGAAAGAGGTTTGTTTGAATCGAAGCATTTGGCGTTCCATTGTTTCTGCGTACCCTAATGGGAGACAGGCGTGACGGATATGTATGTATGTTTGTATGGCTTTTAATGAAGTAATAATGGAACAGAATGAAATGAAACCTCCTGCTCTATCTGTATCATTTACCAGTAGAGATGGGCAATCCACCTGGGTGGGTTTAAAGTCTGGTGGGTAAAAACCGGGTGTTTTGGGTTTATTGGGTTTAAACCCCATAAACACCCAAATTTTTGGGTGTTTATGATTTTGTACTTCATCATCGTCATCTCAGCCGCAAGACGTCCACTATACTGGACATAGACAATATTATTATGCAGCCTACAGAATAAAAAACTTTTAATTTGATTTTGAGTTTATTAAGAAAGAGATGAAAGTAAAATGTAAAACTACAGTCAATCACTGTCAGATTCAGAGTTATTACAAGCGATGAATTGTATAGGTTCGATAGGCTCTATTTCGTCTAAACTGTTATGTTCATTTACTTGCTCAATGAAAGCTTCTAAGGTATTTTTTCATTAAACTGAATGTCCTCGCATTCAGCTTTATGTTTAAGATTCCAGTTATAACAAATGAATGAAATTTTTTCAGTTCTTTCAGTTGTAAGTCGATTTCTTTTGTTATTATGTATGTAGCCTTGGATACTAAAGGAACGCTCAGTGGCTGCCGAAGTACAGGGAGCTGATAGAATACGAATCGCTACTTTGCTTAACTCAGTGGAACCACAAATACCTTTCCACCATATTAGGGGCTCAATGCTATCTAATGAGCTCCATACAAATCCTCTGGCCCAAAAGTTTTCTTTAGCTTTATAACACGCCAAATCTGCCATTACATTTGACAAACTTAAGTGTTGGCTTAAATTGTAGATAAACTCCATACCCTTAAGTTCTTCCTCTTGAGTAAGTTCGACTCCTAGAGTCCTGGGGTCTAGAATATATGCTGCAAAATGTATTGGCCTCATTGCCATATTGCATCTTGAAGATACTGATGTTAGAATCTGCTGTTTGCTTTCTTCGCTCAATGTCGAAATCTCATTTAATGCAAAACGTATCTTAGCTTGTACATCTCTAAATGTAATGTATGTGCGATGCAAACGATTCTGGTCGCTCTCTAAGTAAAATATGCTTTCAGTGACTGGTTCCAAAATACTTATACATTCCCCTGTCTTCGTCCAGAAATCATCACTTAGAATTAAATCTTTAATATCTCTTGAAATTACCACATCTTCTCTAACTGTTAATATTTGCAAAGCTATCTTATTTGCTTTCAAACTTTTTAACGAAGTAACATGACTTCCCCATCTTGTAGCACAAGGCAATTTTAGTGTTTGTGTAGAATCTTCACCCTGCCTTGATTTTATCAACAAGGAACTTAATCGTTGACTCCTTTTAACAGTTTTTATTATATTTATGGCTTGCATAATAAACACAGTTACTTCTTGTATCTTTACAATATCTTGGCACAACAAGTTAAGGATATGTGCACAGCAACCGAGAGGAACAACATGTGGATATTTGAGTTTTGTTAATTCGAATGCCTTTTGTATATTTCTAGCGTTATCGCCAATAATTTTTTTTTTTTTTTTTTTTACAACACAGGGGGCAAACGAGCATGCGGCTCACCTGATGGTAAGTGACTACCGCCGCCCATGATCACCCACAACACCAGCGGCATTGCAGGTGTGCTGCCGGCCTTTTAAAAAGGAATATACTCTTTTCTTGAAGGTTATGTTGTCGTATCGGTTCGGAAATACTGCTGCTGGAAGTTGATTCTAAAGAATGGTTGTGCGTGGAAGAAAGTGCCTTGAAAAACGCACGGTGGAAGACCGCCACTCGTCCAGATGATTGGGATGAAACTTTAGTTTGTGGCGGGTTGTACGGTGGTGAAAATCAGCAGCAGGTATCAATCCGAACAATTCCTCAGAACACTCCCCATGATAAATTCGGTAGAAGATGCACAGAGATGCAACATCTCTGCGCAGTTTCAGTGGGTCGAGTCGGACAGTAAGGCGTTGACTATCGATAATTCGAGCCGCCCGACTTTGAATGCGGTCTAACGGAAGGAGTTGGTACTGTGGCGCTCCTGCCCACAGGTGAGAACAGTATTCCATATGCGGCCTGACTTGGGCTTTATATAATTTCAGGCGGTGTTCTGGCATGAAATATCGTCTCACCCTATTGAGTACTCCTAACTTTTTGGAAGCTATCTTAGCCTTCTCCTCCAGATGACCGCAAAACTGGACGTCGCAAGATATATCAACGCCCAGAATTCCTAGACTCGACTTTTTATCAAGGGAAGTGCCCTGAAAGTGAGGAGATACGACAAACGGCGTCTTTTTTGCGGTAAACGCGCAGACTTGTGTCTTTTTGGGGTTAAATTGGACAAGATTTTGTTCACCCCAGATCGAAACTTGATGGAGTGAAGTTTCGATTTCAGACACAAGTCTATTCCGGCACTCATCGGTATGTGCCCGCGAGATCTTTGCATGACCGGTATATAATGTATCTCCTGTACTGTCGTCTGCATAGCAATGAATATTACTTATCTGTAACATATCATTGATATGCAGAATAATAAGTACAAGAAACTTATTTGCTCCATACACTTTCATTACTTTTTCAACTTCTTGGCTAAGGTATTCACTAGTGTGAGGATTACTTTCTGTATTCAAACTTTTAACGTATGCAGGTTGAGGTTTTGATATAAGAAAGTTTATTATTCCTTCATTTCTTAAATTAGACCAGCCATCGCACTGAAGGTGTAAGTAACTACAAGCATTTAGTTCCTCATTTAACTCAAAACGCATTTCTCTATATATTTTATCTAAGTATTTTGTCGCTAAAGCTTTACGTGAAGGTATTTTAAATTTTGGTTGCAATTTTTCGAAAAATTGTATCCATAAAGGATGTTGCACCATCGATAATGGCGTCCCTGTTACAAATATAGCTCTCGCTAATTCTGTTTTTATATGATCATCGGTGTCTTGAAACTCAGCATTTATTGTAGTGTTAGCAGACGACGAGGGGCTTATAAAAGAATCATTTGTCTCTATCTCTGACAGTCCAGACATTTTGGTTTTGGACGAGCTATCTTTTATAAGTTTCATAGAGTCTTTTAATGTTTCTGGAGATTTTGGACAAGTGATAAGATGTTGAAGCATTTTGGCAGCATTACTGAATTTGTAGACCTTATTACAAAGCTTGCAAGAAACAGACTTGTTTGGTAAAGTACGGTAGTGCTCCCATATGCGTAAATCTTTAGGTCTCCCCATTGAACCTAAAAAAATGAACGATGATTAGTTGGTCTGACGAAAATTCAACAATAGAGTGCCTATTTTTTTACAATGATTATTTCTTGTTATTTACAATAAATTTATTAAAAAAATAATAAAATAAATAAAAAAAACCTTTGTAAAATTACATCTCCTCGGAGGATTAAACGCAGACGCTAGTTTATTATCGTATTGTTCTGTATTTTTCTCAGCAACTTCTTTAATTCGATTAGGTACTTACGCATATTATGTTAAAAATAAATATCTAGTACACATCTTAGGCTATCCACCATTATTATCCAATGACGACTCTCAGCTAACTATGCACTATCATCCAAAATAAACGTGTATGGAAAATTTTATCCCAGTCGGTTGAGGATTGAGGATAATTGCATCAACATACGAACATACCTACATACTTTTATTTACATAACGCAAGCTAAATAAAAGCTTGTAATAATACATCTAATTTTAAGTTAAAATTGTTAAGTGATCATGATATAATTGTATCATTCAAAAATCCACTTACCTTTAATTATTTCTTGTTAAGTATAAATATTATTTCAAATCTGCTCCCTTAATATGCACTTTTTTACTGCTTTTCCTACCTAACACGTTACCAGGAAGTCACGTTACCAGAGTCAGAGTAATAGTGAACACGTTTGACAGTGATTGTCGTCGCCTCATATTCAGCGTCGACGAATAGGGGAATCCCCAGTCATAATGTATTGCATGCGTGGCGGTCTTACTTCAAATCCATAAACAAAGAGATAATTACAGAACTCGATACTAGATGGCGCTGTTTTTGTTTGAAGAAAGTTTGCGGGCTAAAATACATAGAATTTCATCAATGACTTCCACAAAGAACAACATTTCTGTTTTTTCTAAGTCCGTATCTCTTCCGTATATTTCATAAGATATAAGCTTGGGCTACATTGTTATGCAACGTGATTTTGTCGCTGTCTTGCTAGCAGGGTTGACAGATATACGATTTAAATCGTACTCATACTATTATTTGTCTATTTTTTAATGTACGATCGTAAAGATTATGATCGTAATTCGCACAAAAACATACGACTTTTTGGTTACCTGGCAACATTTTTATTATGAAACGAACATGCTCACATCATCAGTCACATGCAACAATTTATTGGGGATTTCCCCTTCACATCTGGCAGTCCTGCTTGCTAGAATATAGGTAAGTCAGCCACAGTTACTGACGATCGATATTTAAAGGATATTGTTTTTGTGCTAAATATTTCATAAAAACGTTATTTAATACTTTGTGGATTATTAATTTAGTTGATAATCACTGGAAGTAAAATGGATGCTAATTTGAGAGATCAAGATCTTCGTATAAAACAGTTAATAAAAGAAAATCTACGTAAGTACTCTTTTTATACCTAGGTAGGTAAGGTATAATAAACACAAAAGGTACTTAGATCGCGTGTGTTCGAAGCATTTATTCTAATAAATTTAATTTAAAATTGTAGAAAGAAAAAAATGTCTGCCAAGCCGTAGCCGAAGCCGATCTCCAAATATATTTGGCGATAGTGAGACCCAGTGTCCAGATGATTTACCCAGCGTCGTCGCAACAAAGAAAAAAGACGAGGATAAAGTAAAAGAAAATTTACTGAAAGAAGAAACAAACTGTTCTAAATGCTTAATTTATGGAGAAGAGGATAAAAGAAATGAGTATTTCGGACTGTTAGTGGCTCAAGAATTTAAATATATACGGCCATGTGTGCGAACGAGGTGTTATGAAGAAATTTTAAAGTATCTACGGGAAGCAAAAGGCCAACATGTTGATCAACTGCAACATGAAAACACTGAAAATTAATTACTTTCATTTTATTATATATAGATTTTTAAAATTTCCTGAAATATTATTAGTTAACGTTTTATTTAATATTGTAGAATTGATCAATACAATTTATAAAAATAATTTATTGGTATTACTTACATATTTTCAAAAAAATACGTAAAAACCTATTTTTTGGGTGATTATGGGAGTTTATGGGTGTTTATTGGGTTTTTACCAAAGCACCGGGTTTAAACCCGGTGCTTTGCCCATCTGTATTTACCAGAGGGAGACTTTGTACAAAAGTCGTTTGCTTGAACACCTCTGTCCCATTCGTGTTTCAACCGTGAAGCAGTTGTGTTTGCATGGCTGTGATTCAGTTTGAAGGGTGGGATATGGCAGTGAATTTATAGGGTACAGAGGAATAACACCGGAGTCCTCAGAAATGAGAACGCATGGGAGATATCATGAGTGAAATAGTATACTCTGTTATGCACGTGTCTATAGGCGACGGTTACCACTTTCCATCAGGTGGACCGTCAGCTTGTTTGCCATTCTAAATTGCATAAAAAATATGAGCCTCCCCCTTGGGGGGGGGGTTGCCAGTAGTTGCCACGCTTGGCAGGCGGGTTGGCAACCGCAGTTAGCCTTTGGTAATATTTTAAGAGGAATGCTGCTACCAATCTCTCGACTATTAAGTTCCCTTAGGCGCCTCTGACGACATCCACGGGAAAAGAAAAGATGGCACCTAATTAGAACAAAATAAGTATATTAGGAACGAACTGAATCGTTCTTTATGGCAGTCTATGGGGGAGGCCTATGTCCATCAGTGGACGGATAATGACTGAAATGATGAATAAAAATGATGATGAAGTATATTAAAACAAATTTCGTGAAACAAAACTAAAAAAACAACGAGAAGTTTCAACCCATACTAATCTACTCCCATACTAACTAAACAACTGGGTACATCACATTAATATGAAAGACCCAAACCCAAATTTTTTTATTTTGTTTTTTAACCAATATTCCTTTAGAAAAAATGATCATTTTGACTCCCTTTAAAGCAGGCAACAATTTTGACTTCACCCTTCACCTTTCAATAGTCAACTGCATTTTTGGGGGAAAGGGATTGTTAGTAATGGAGACTGAGAATCCCATTGCTAGCAATATGCCCAACCAGGTCGATTTCCTCGCGGTTCTCCCTGGAAACTATCATGAATAATTCCTGATGAATTCATCATGATGGGCTAACTGACCTGTTTTCATTCTCATCTATCACCCTTCACTGGTGCTCCGCCAGCGTATCCCGTTAGCGCAGGCGGGGTAACCATACCATTTTCACTCATAAAAAATAAAAATAGTCAACCGCGCCTATGAGGTCCATCATATTACTCCTGTCAATACACCATTCTTGCTAAGTATTTTCCACCAGGTCATTGTTATTTAGCCTTCTAATGGAAAACTGTAGCCGTGTAGCTCCCGGCATAGAAGGGGCATTCCCATTCCTTTCCAGGAGGGAAAGGAATTCTTAGCAATGGAGTTTGACAGCCCCATTAAATAAATAAATAAATATATACGGACAAATCACACAGATTGAGCTAGCCCCAAAGTAAGTTCGAGACTTGTGTTATGGGATACTAACTCAACGATACTATATTTATAATAGATACATATATAGATAAACATCCAAGACCCAGGACAATCAGGAAAAGATCGTTTTCCATCATGACCTGGCCGGGGATCGAACCCAGGGCCTCCACGTCGCAGGCAGGCGTGTTGACCGCTGCGCCACGGAGGACGACATTGCTAGCAATATGTCCTATTAGTTCGACCTCCACGTGGTTCCCCCTGGAAACCATCGTGAACATTTCTTGTTGTATTCGTCACGATGGGCTAACTAACCTGCTTCATCCTCACCTATCATCCTTCACTGGTACCCCGCCGGCGTATACTGATAGCGCAGGTGGGGTTACCATTCCATTATCACCCAATAAAAAAAAAACACTCTTTTCCCATGGGTGTCGTAAGAAGAGCCTTAGTCGCCTCCATTTTAGTTATATTTTCCATTTAATTTTCCATTTTATTATTATTGTTATATCAGCCGTTGATTGTCCACTGCTGAACATAGGCTTTCACCATAAGGGAAGATTTTTCCTTAGTTGCCAGGCTAGCCAGGCGGCTTGGCAACTGCATTCAAGTCTTTGGTGATGTTTTAAGCGAGGCCCTGCTACCATCACTCAACCATCAAATTCCCTTAGTCGTCTCTTACGACACCTATAAGAAAGGAAAGGGTGGCCTATTCTATGCCGGGACCACAGGCAAGATACTTACTGTATATAAAATCCCATAAGGTTTCTTGGCTTTGCTAACGTAATACTCTTTGCAGGATCCACCAAAGTAATCACTCCGATAACGATCCAACTTTTCACTGTACCTGATTTGGAATTAAACTCAGTTAAAACACCTACATTCCAACAAAGACCAAACAGGGGGAAGAGATTGTCAGGAAATGGGACTAGCGGCCCCATTAGATAACATAATGAATAAAAATGGTAATCCCGCGTGCGCTAACGGTATACGCTGGCGGGGCACTATTGCGTGGAGGTCGACATGATAAACTATGGCATACTGATAGGGTATGTTGATGGCAATGAGGACTAATCTCCCCATTACTAACAATCCCTTCCCCCGGTAGCTGATTATTAGGCTACTGTAGCCGCCCTGCTCAAGCAACCTGGTTTAGGTTCTTGTTCATTAAATATTAACAATGATAATGTGGTAACGCTGTGATGAAAAAGGCAAGACTTTCAAGTATGCATCACCATTACTCCTTACACTGTGGTATCAAACTGATAACTTTATTAATAACTTTCTAACAGTCTGTCCTTAGTCTCTCTCCCTCCCTTACTCGCCTCTTACGACAACCACGGGAAAGGAAGGTTTTTTTATACAACTTAGAATGGCAAACAAGCTGACGGCCCACCTCATGGAAAGTGGTAACCGTCGCCTATAGACATGAGCAGTAACATGGACATAACAGAGTATACTGTTTCGCCCATGATACCCCCCCCCCCCCATGCGTTGCCATTCCTGAGCACTTAGGTGTTATTCATCTATAATCCAGTAAATTCACTGTCATATCCCACCCTTCAAACCGAAACACAGCCATGCAAACTATTCTACGCCGGGACCTACCCGGCGTTACTCACCAAACCTCAAATGGCTTCACAATGCCCGTCACGAGATTAATTTCCTCGGCTCTAAGGTGATACTCCGTCGGGTAATTTATTGTATGATTGCCTGTAATTAAAAATAATTAAATTAAAACTAAACATGCCGTGTGCCCCGGCATAGTATAGGCCAATCCTTCCTTTCCCGTGGCTGTCGTAAGAGTCGACTAAGGGAGGGCGAGGTATTGGCAGCAACGTCCCTCTTAAAACACCTCCAAAGCCTGACTGCGGTTGCCAATCCGCCTGCCAATCGTGGCAACTACTGGCAAAACCCCCCAAGGGAGAGGCTTATGTTCAGCAGTGGACAGTTAAAGGCTGATAACGTTTTAGTACAGCTGTTTATTGTAAAAAAGAAATAATTAAGTTTAAATAATTTATTTTTTATCTAACATTATTTAATAATACCTAATTGTTGCTGAACATAGGTCTCCCTCTATAGGGTTTTACCAGTAGTTACCACGCTTGGCAGGCGGGTTTTTTTGATGGGTGAAAATGGTATGGTAATACCGCCTGCGCTAACGGGATACGCTGGCGGAGCACCAGTGAATGGTGATAGATGAGAATGAAAACAGGCCAGTTAGCCCATCATGATGAATTAATTAGGAATTAACCATGATAGTTTCCAGGGGGAACTGCGAGGAGGTCGACCTGGTTGGGTATATAGCTAGCAATGGGATTCTCAGTCTCCATTACTAACAATCCCTTTCCCATCCCATCAGGTGGACCGTCTGCTCGTTTGCCATTCTAAGTTGCATAGAAAAATGAATTTTTTATACTTACTTTTTTCTTGTTCACAATTACAGCTGTGATAAAACGTTATGGTGAACCATATTAGTAAAGCTGTTAAATAGACCATTTCGGACGACGCCTTGCCACTGTTTGGTTTAACAATCTTGTATTTTATCGATTTAATATTATTTGTGTTTTTATATAAAAATATGTCATAAAAAATGTACATAAAGGCCCGTATACATCATAACATGCTAATATCTATAATCTTGGGGGAAGGAATTGTTAATAATGGGAAGGTCAGTCTCCATTGCTATCAATATATTCTATCAGGTCGACCTCCACGCGGTTCCCCCTGGAAACTATCGTTACTAATTTATCGTTGATTCCTGACGAATTCAACTAGAATTCATCCCACGATGGTTTCACTGGTGGAACGTCAGTGTAGATCGATAGCGCAGGCGGGGTATATTTTTTGTTTAATGGGTGCTATTTGACCCCATTATCGGTATACAATCCCTTTCCCCCAGGATTACCCTTAGGTTACCATGACATTTTCACCCATTAAAAGAAAATCTATAACCTAGTTGTAACGTGCGATTTTTCTCGCATTTATTTCATATAAAGATAGTTAATTATACTAATTACTAATGTAGTAAACTAGTATTCCGCCCAGGTTTCGCACGGGTAAATATATGGAAAGATAAATCAGTATTTTCATCATCAACATCATCATATCAGCCTTTAACTGTCCACTGAGGAATACAAACCTCCCCCTGGGATGTTTTGCCAGTAGTTGCCACGCTTGGCAGGAGGATTGACAACCGCTGTTAGTCTTTGGAGGTTCTTTAATACCACTGAGGTGGCAACGGTCCGTTTTAAAAGTTTTAAAAGGCCGGCAGCACACCTACAATGCCGTAGGTGTTGTGGCTGATCATGGGCGGCGGTAATCACTTACCATCAGGTGAGCTGCATGCTCGTTTGCGTTTGGTTTGGGTGTTGTAAAAAAAAAAATGGTCCACCTGATGGTAAGCGGTTACCGTAACCTATAAACGCCTGCAATACCAGGGGTATTACGCGCGCGTTACTGACCTTGAAGAAACCTCTTTACCCCCCTTTTGAAGAACCCCATGCTGTACCCCCATGTAATTTCTTGGCAAAAACTTGGCAGGGAGCTCATTCCTTAACCTGAGTGTTCGTGGAAGAAAACATCTCTGAAACCGCGCTGTACGCGATCATTTAGGCTCTAGAGTATGAAGGTGAACACCCTGTCGATGGCGAGCCGTATGATGGTAGAAAACGGCCGTGGGCATCATATTGAACAATTCCTCTGAGCACAGTCCGTTGTAAAAGCGGTAAAACACGCAGAGTGAGGCAAAATCTCTCCTAAGATTTAAGGGTTTGATAGCGCTTGTAAGTAAGATGTTTTAACAGAGACGCTGGTGTCCATCGACATGAATATTAGCCTATGCCGGTACCACACGGCCAATATAATATCTATCTATATACCAAATTCCGTTCGAACCTGTACAGCCATATTATGAAGAGTTACAAATATTCAGACATTCTAAGTTGTATAAAAAAAATATAATCTTTCACATTTATTTATTTATAACAAAGTAACAGAATATCAATCAATACTTTAATAAAATAAATATTTTTTATGCAACTTAGAATGTCAAACAAGCTGACGGCCCACCTGATGGAAAGTTGTAACCGTCGCCTATAGACATGAACAGTACCATGGACATAACAGAGTATACTGTTTCGCCTACGATACCCACAATGCGTTGCCATTACTGAGGATTTGGGTGTTATTCCTCTGTACCCTGTAAATTCACTGCCATATCCCACCCTTCAAACCGCAACACAGCCATGTAAACACAACTACTTCACTATAGAAACACGACTGGGATAGAGGTGTCCAAGCAAACAACTTTTATACAAGGTCTCCCTCTGATAACTGGCGGAGTTATGAGGTGACAAACAAACAAAAAATGGAGCCGAATTGAGAATCTCCCTCTTTTTGATTAATATTGAAAAATTTTATTCAAAATAAATATGCTCATGACTATAAACCCTAATGGAGTAAACAGAGACATTTGTCGACGATCTACGTTATTTGTAATGTAAAAATCATAATTTCATTTGTAGGCATAATGTATACGGCACTTAATTATCTCAAACACATAACACATTTTCACTCATATCGAGCAATTTTAATTTGATAAGAATAATTATTAATTTATATAAATATTAATAAGGTAAATAAATAGCATTCATTAAATCGAAATTAAAAGCATCCATTTTGGATAATAGCGACAATTTATATACATATACAAGCTTTCTCCCGCGGTTTGGACCGCGAGAAAATATGTTTTTTTTTTTTAAGAAATAACTAATAGAACCGCTAGTAGTATGTTTAATTTATGTGAAAATAATAAATATAAGAAACATGATAAAAACAATGTGATATGTATATAATAAATCCTTATTGATATTATATATGTGAAAGTGAGTTTGTTTGTTACCTTATACAGAGGAATAACACCCGAGTCCTCAGGAATGGCAACGCATGGGGCGTATCTTGGACGAAACAGTATACTCTGTTATGTCCATGGTACTGCTCATGTGTATAGGCGACGGTTACCACTTTCCATCAGGTGGGCCGTCAGCTTGTTTGCCATTCTAAGTTGCATGAAAAAAAACTTTAAACAGTAATTAGTACAGTACTATTACTTATACTGTGCCTACCTTTACTTTAGAATAAGCCACCTCTTCCTTTCCAGTAGGTGTCGTAGGAGGCGACTAATTGACAGCAAGAGCAGCGTCCCTCTTAAAATATCACTAAAAGCCAAACTGGGGTTGCCAATCCGCTTGCCAAGCGTAGCAACTACTGGCAAAACCGCCCCTTATGTGGGAGGCTATGTTCAGCAATGGACAGTCAACGGATGCTACAATACAAAAAAAAAATGGTCAAGGTATAATTGGTGAGCTAGCTGCCTAACTCTTCTTGCCAGTTTCCACTGTATGTCTGTATTTTTTTTTACGACTTAGAATGGCAAACAAGCTGACGGCCCACCTGATGGAAAGTGGTAACCGTCGCCTATAGACATGAGCAGTACCATGGACATAACAGAGTATACTCTTTCGCCCATGATACCCCGCATGCGTTGCCATTCCTGAGGACTCAGATGTTATTCCTCTGTACCCTGTAAATTCACTGCCATATCCCACCCTTCAAACCGAAACACAACCATGCAAACACGGTTTTATGGTTGAAACACGAATGGGACAGAGGTACGCAAGCAAACGACTTGTTGACAAATGACGACTGTATGTCTGTATGTCAGCCTTTCGTCTTTTAATTTTATACAAACGAAGCAATTGAGCGTCTAAACGAGACAATGTCACGGTATGTCGTTCGTGCGTCACGTGGACACGCCCACCAGCTCGCAACTAACCATTGACCTACTTCTTGGGCAATATTTGCGAAAATTTATAAATATATGTATCATTTTGGTAGTATATACGTTCAGGGGGGAGGGCTTATTAGTAATGCGGACTACCAGTACCATTGCTAGCAATATACCCTATCAGGTCGACCTCCACGTGGTCCCCCCTTGAAACCATCGTGCTGAATTCCAGGTGTATTTATCACGAAGGGTTAACTGACCTGCGTTTTTATTCTCGCCTGTCTTCTCTCACTGGTGTCCCGCCAGTATATACCGTTAATGTAGGCGGAATTACCGTTTCATTGTTGTTCATTAAAAAATAAAATAATACCCTGTCAACTCGACCTCCATGTGGTCCCCCTGGAAACTTCGTGGTTACTTCTCGTGCAATTCTTCACGATGGGCTAATTGACCTGCCTTTTCATTATCACCTATCATCCCTCACTGGTCAAAAAAACCCCGCCCGCGCGTATACCGTTAACGCAGACGTGGTTATCATTCCATTATCATCCATGAAAACAAAAAAATGAATTCACATTCTAACCAGGGAGAATTCCTACTATATGCAATGGGATTCTTATTCCATTACTTTTCCCCGCGCAGGCGGGGTTACAATGTATATAAATTAAAAAAGCAGTGGTAAATGTTTATTCCACCTTAGTAAACCAACAATTTGAACGCACGCGTGAACACAGATATCACTATGTACAGAAATTAATCAATCACTATGTAATTTCGTACACAGTTGTATATACATGCCAGAGGGTGGGATATGGCGTGAATTTACTGGGTACAGAGGAATAACATCTGAGTCGTCAGGAATGGCAACGCATGGACTGTATCATGGGCAAAACAGTATACACTGTTATGTCCATGGTACTGCTCGTGTCTATAGGCGACGGTTACCACTTTCCATCAGGTGGGCCGTCAGCTTGTTTGTCATTCTAAATTGTATAAAAAAAAATTATGGCTCCATATGTATATTTATTTATAATAACTTTACTACTAAAATCTTTTAGAGGAAACAATAAAGAGTATCTATCTATATCTATAATAAAAAAAATCCGCTATAATAAATACACATGGAAACGGTAATGCCATCTTGACTAATATTAGAAGCCATACATACACGGAGAGATTTGTCTCTGCGACTAGTCGAAGCGATAATCGTAGCGATTGCTCTGTTCGGCCACCATAGATTATAGATTAAAGCATCGATTGTCAAAAACATGTCAAAGTTAGTCAGCTAATTTGACGTTTGTCTGACAATTTTTTTTTAAATCAAAATAAAACCTAAGAACCAGAACTTACATAGAAGGAATGATAAAATAAAAATTGAAAATCATATGATTGCCTCCTTTTTTCTTATGCAAATATAATTTTTTTATGCCATCAATTGCTATTTTTTATGCATATTGTTTGCCAATCCAAAAGACCAGGGGGCGTCATTAAAAAAATATTTTTTCAGAGGGAGACTTTGTACAAAAGTCGATTTCACCTCTGTCCCATTCGTGTTTATGTGAAGCAGCTGTGTTTGCATGGCTTTATTTCAGTTTGAAGGGTGGGATGTGGCGTGAATTTTTCAGAGGAAAAACTTTCAGGAATGGCAACGCATGGAGGGTATAATGGGCGAAAAATTGTGTTATGAAAATAAACTACTTTCCATCAAGCTTGTTTGCCATTCTAAGTTGTATAAAAAAAAACACATTCAGTATATAATTTCATTTCATACATAATAAGATATAAACAATATATAATTCATGGCAAAAAAAAGTAAGCAGAACGCATGGCATTCCAGACAAGCCTGTGGTTTTTGATATGCCTGCTTGTTATTTTTGTATTACGGCGAAAATAAATAAATAAAAAGACAATCAGTTGAAACATAAAAAGAGGAAGACTTTGTACAAAAGTCGTTTGCTTGGGTACATTTGTCCCACTCGTGTTTCTACCGTGAAACAGTTGTGTTTGCATGGCTGTGTTTCGGTTTGAAGGGTGGGATATGGATGAATAAATCAAAATAACATCCAAGTCCTCAGGAATGATAAGGGGTATCATGGGCGAAACAGTATACTGTTATGTCCATACTGCTCATGTCTATAGGCATGCTACAGCTTGTATGCCATTTATAGTTGCATAAAAAAAAAATTATTAAAAATTGCTTAAATTTTAATTTATTTGAATAAAATTATCTCTATCTTTCATAAAAAAAAAAGTCGTTCGATTTTCAAACTTCAGATTTCTGTTTAGCACTACTACTGCCCACTCACTACTTGCTATGCCACTGCGTTAGGTTGACTGGAAGAAATCTCTTTTAGAGATAAGTTCGCCTTTGCTAACATTGTTATTAACTTAATGTTGTTACTGTATGTTTTAGTGCAATAAAGAATATATATTTCTAGTTCAAAAATCGAACGGCGACGCGCCGTTGCGTGTATGGGGCCTCTCAGTGTGACATTAATTGAGGTCGATTACGGTGTCATACGGTACTCTAGTGGTATTTAAACGAAATGCTTGTTTATAATGTTATTGTGAGAAGTGTCAGCCGGCGAGATGACGTTTTGGGTGAGTCATACAATTTCACATCATCAAAAAACGTCGTTCACGTCCCACTAGTGGACTGCGGTACCTTTCATCATCATATCAGCCTTCAACTGTCCACTGCTGAACACAAACCTTCCTCTCAGAGGATTTTGCCAGAGTTGCCACGCTTGGCAGGCGTATTGGCAACTGCAGTTAGGCTTTGGAGATATTTTAAGAGGGACGCTGCTGCCCATCCCTCGCCGTCCCTTAGTCGCCTTTTACGACATCCACAGTAAAGGATGAGGTGGCCTATTCTACGCAGGGACCATACAGCCAATGTAATATATCTATTAGCATATAATTTGAATAGATTAACAATTGATTAACGCGCGAGACCCTTGATTCAGGGTTTTGTTGAGCCTGGACGAATCTAACTAGTTAGTTTTACTGGCCAGACCGGCGGCAAACAAGCTGACGGCCCATCTGATGGAAAGTGGTAACCGTCGCCTATAGACATGAGCAGTACCATGGACATAATAGAGTATACTGTTTCGCCCATGATACCCTCGATGCGTTGCCATTCCTGAGGACTCAGGTGTTATTCCTCTGTACCCTGCAAATTCACTACCATATCCCACCCTTCAAACCGAAACACAGCCATGCAAACACAACTGCTTCACGGTTGAAACATGAATGGGACAGAGGTACCCAAGCAATCGATTTTGTACAAAGTCTCCCTCTGGTAAGAGTCTTGTAAGAGTACATAGGTAAATGGTACCATGGGCATAGGCTTTATTTATTTATTTTAATTTATTTATTTAATCGTTAATGCACAGTCTATGTACATATGACGGACTTAACACCAGACGCTGTTCTCTACCAGTCAACCATTGGTAAAACGGAAAAATACGTAGGCGGTGCATTTTTGAATAGAGACAACCACTCTTAGGTATCAACTTCCAGCAACAGTATTTCCGAACTGATACGACAACGTAACCTTCAAGAAAAGAGCATATTCCTTTTTAAAAGGCCGGCAGCACACCTGCAATGCCGCTGGTGTTGTGTGTGATCATGGGCGGCGGTAGTCACTTACCATCAGGTGAGCCGCATGCACGTTTACCCCCTTGTAAAAAAATAGAGAAAAAAGTTTATTCTGTCATGTCCAGTTCATGACTACAGGCGATAGTTATTTTCCATCAAGTAGCCTGTCAATACAATTTGCTTAAAAAGAAACAGATTATTCAATAATTGCTTATCCCTTTATATATGTAACTTTTTCTAATATCGCGCGCAAGTCATTTTTACGCACGAAGCTGAAATAACACGATAGTGAGATTCTAAACCAGCCAATAAGAAATCATTATAGCGGTTAGGTGGTGCAGTAGTCTCGTGCGTGCCGGCAAGATGGCTTGGCTCCAAAACACAAAAATATATTTAATCAGAAAGAAAAAAAAATCTTGAGTCTGAAAGGGATATACCTACTATAAATAGACATGTCCACTCTCATTCAACAATTTAATGATTATGTCATTAATTGCATTAAATTTAAAAATAACTTGTTCCAACAAGTCGTTTTAAATGAACTTGACATTCTTTCTATAGATATAGTTCTTTGCATATTGCAACTTCGAATACAAAACAAACCAACAAACCAATTAAGTTCACTTTAATAAAATTTTTTTTTAATCAAAAGGCTTCAGGGATGAAAAGCGCCGTTATTTTTTTTTAAAGAACATTATTATTATTATTACTGACAATCCAATTGCTAAAATTGTTAGTATTTCTGACCCCGCAGTATGCCCTATCAGGTCGAACCTCCACGTGGTCCCCTTCGAAGACCATCGCGCTGAATCCCAGATGTATTCGTCACGACGATTATAGAAATGCTAATGCAATGATAATTTACACTCAGGTTGTGGAATGAGCTCCTTGCCGAGGTTTTCCCAAGAGACTACAGCATGAGATTCTTCAAAAGGGGGGTAAAGAGGTTTCTTCAGGGTCGGCAACGCGCGCGTATTACCTCTGGTATTGCAGGTGTTCATAGGCTGCGGTAACCACTTACTATCAGGTGGGCCGTATGCTTGTTTGCCACCTCAGTGGTATAAAAAAAAAGAGACTACTAGTCCCCATTTTTGACAATCCACTATCCCCCTATACAGAGGTAACAGTGTCGCGAGTTCAACAGTTTTTTTCCATTTCAAAAAATGTCCAACGCGCCTAATGAAGTTTTCACTACAATAAGATCACAGGTGTATGTACACATCTATTGATTAAAGTAAAAATTTATTCAAGTTTTTTCCCACCAAAACAATGCCTTCCATGTCACGTAACAATAGAATGAACTATGGGATTATAACCTTTGTCAGCGCTCACGGTTTCATTCAAAATCCGTCGTCAATCTGATGATTTGAGTCATAATTAAAGGACTTCTAAGAGAATAATGTTCTTGTCTATGGTTTTGTTTTGTATTTTTTTGCCAGTTCTGTTTTTTTTTTTTTTAACTAATTTTAAAAAGAAAAAGAATCTCAATTCGATTGGTTTTTTTTTTTATTTTTTTCAGTTCTCCACAATTTCATAGTATTTACGGCATTATTTTAGGTATTTAATGGTACTCAAAAGTTGAGAGATAAATAAATAAACATTATTATATACTTACAGATTAGTTTTGGAGGAATTTTTGATTGAAATTGAAAAATTCCTCAATAGTTTAAAAATTCAGTTCAGTAGTTTAGTTTTTAAATAATAAGAACAGGTTTTGTCAGAATTGAAATAGTTTTTTTTTTTTTTTGGAAGAGACAACCTTTGATTATTCACAATCGATAGGATTGACTTCCATGTTAAAATTACGAGTATATAGATATGAGTGTCTCCATACAATTTTTTCCCCCAAAAACAACACCACTTTTTTAACCCTTAAAAGCCTGATTTTTTAAATCAAATTAAAAAATATATAAGTGTATCCTTTTTTGTGTTTACTAATGGGGAAAAATAGTAAAAAAAAATCAAAACGAAACGAAAAAACATTAGGTAACATGTAAACAGCCAAATATTAAGATAAAATCGATTGTAGGCGCCCAATGTGATTTATAACCCCGGTATCAAATTTGAAACTTCAAGTATTTAAGGGTTAATCCATTTGAGCAAGGGTTTTTTTTAATGGGTGAAAATGGAATGTTAACCGATATACGCTGGCGGGGCACCAGTGATAGATGATTAGTGAAGATGAAGGCAGGTCAGTTGGCCCATCATGAAGAGTTCAACAAGAATTAACCATGATGGTTTCCAGGGGGAACCGCGTGGAGGTCGATCTGATAGGATATATTGCTAACAATAGGGTTATTAGAACCCATTACTAACAATCCCTTTCCTCCCTGTGTGCAAGGGTTACCATAATATACATTTATTGCTCAATATATGGAACAAATTATGTTTTAAGGTTAAATTAAAAACTAAAAACGGTATAAAATTCTTAGAAACACATTTGAAAGAACTAGATAAATAGTACATAATGATTCGTAATGATACTTGTCATTACTAATTACTTTGATTTAAACCGAATATAGACTAAAAATATAATAAATATGTTTTCTATATGAATATAGAATAAATATGTTTTCGTTTATAAATCAAAGAAAATGGCCGCCATTTTAATTAATAGATACTTATACTACAACTGATCTATTTTCTTATTTTTAATTTTTAATTATACATTTTAAATTTTATTATCTGATACTGCTTAGTAGTTTATTTTCAAACAAATTTATTATCCGTTAAAGTTTTTGAAAAACTGCTGAGTTGCCCTTACATACTGGCTGAAATTGCGTTCCGAATGGGCGGTAAAACAATGAAAAAATGTTTATTAAAAAATGCTTAAATCTAAGTGTATATACATTTATTATACACATGTAATGGTACATTTATAAAAGGGAAAATAGTTCCCAATTCAAATTAAAACATCAACCTGATCTGGAAAATTTGATAATATTAAACTGACGCGACTCATATAATTGTATTTTGACAGTGACATCAATATTCCCTGTGCTGTAACTGTGCTGTATCTGTCCCACTCACGTTTCAACCGTGAAGCAGTTGTGTTTGCATGGCTGTGTTTCGGTTTGAAGGGTGGGATATGGCAGTGAATTTACTGGGTACAAAGGAATAACACCTGAGTCCTCAGGAATGACAACACATGGGGGGTATCATGGGCGAAACAGTATACTCTGTTATGTCCATGGTACTGCTCATGTCTATAGGCGACGGTTACCACTTTCCGTCAGGTGGACCGTCAGCTTGTTTGCCATTCTAAGTTGTATAAAAAAAAATAAAAATAAAAATCTACCTGCCTTTATGGTTAGAGAAAAAAATATTATGATATTTAACCCTCCGCCAACCGTGTTTTTTGCATACCGTCAACCGTCACGGACGATATCGTCCCAGACGATAATTTGACCTACTTAAAGGTAGGGAAAAGAATATGTTCTAGATTTCTTTTTTCTGTTTCTATAGTTTTTGACTTGAATACTTTACCACCTAGTGAAATAAAATTTTGAAATCTCTACAAAAACCGTAATTTCTAAGATTTCACTAAAAATCGATATCTTGAAAATAAATTAGTTTTAAGAAGAAATGTTTTGAAGATTTATACTTCATATAAGCGCCTTTCAAAACCTTGCCTGCGAGGTACGCGCGTATGTAAGTTTTTTTACAGAGGGGTTCGAAGCTCCGTCCTTTTTTTCTTACAAAGATATGCATCAGGTTCAAACTTGGCGCGGACGATATTGTCCTATACGATTGGCGAAGCGTTAAGGATTTAGTTTCTTATACCAAAAAGGATCGGCAACGCGCACGTGACACTCCTAGTGTTGCAGGCGTCCATAGCTTACAGTAACCGTTTATCATCAGACGGATTATATGCTTGTTGTTGTATGCTTGCACAAAGATGGCAACCCTTTATGGTATAAAAAAAAAAACACAAAAATTGGACCCGTAGTTTGGATATAATTTTCGCCTCAAGCACGAGTCTCTGATACAGAAATAATCATAACAATAATGACCAATTACATTCGAAAAAAAAAAAGTACAGAACATTTGTAACGTTTTAAATTTATAAAGCATCTTTCTTTTTCAGACAATTCTGTTCATCGCACTGTCATGTTTCCACATTGTCTTCGCATCCAAAACCGGCCCTCATCAGAGCCTCGAGCAATCGTTCCTCGACAAACTCCACAAGCCATGGCTGCGACCTGACCTCCCATCTGATCATCCAAGGAAGGGAGAACACATTTGTAAAGGGAAACTGTGTAAAACTAAGCCGAATCAAGCGTGTGATGGATGCCAACACGCAGTACCTTTAGACTTCAAAGACTGGGATGAAATAAATTATTAGACCAACTTTTTATTTATTTTCCGTTCAGATTTTTTTATACCACTGAGGTGGCAAACAAGCATACGACCCACCTGATGGTAAGCGGTTACCGTAGCCTATGAACACCTGCAATACCAGAAGTATTACGCGCGCTTTGTCGACCCTGAAGAAATCTTTTTACCCCCCTTTTGAAGAACCCCACGCTGTAGTCTCTTGGGAAAACCTCGGCAGGGAGCTCATTCCACAACCTGAGTGTTCGTGGGAGAAAACATCTATACATCATATACCCAATAACTTGCCATATGGTCCCGGCATAGAATAAAATACCCCTTCTTTTCCCGTGGGTGTTGTAAAAGGCGACTAAAGAAGCATAATAGTCGAGGGATGGGTAGTAGCGTTCCTCCTAAAACATCTCCAAAGGGAGACTTTGTACAAAAGTCGATTGCTTGTACCACTGTCCCAATCGTGTTTCTACCGTGAAGCAGTTGTGTTTGCATGGCTGTGTTTCGGTTTGAAGGGTGGGATATGGCGTGAATTTACAGGGTACAGAGGAATAACACCCGAATTCTCAGGAATGGCAACGCATGGGGGGTATCATGGGCGAAACAGTATACTCTGTTACGTCCATGGTACTGCTCATGTCTATAGGCGACAGTTACCATTTTTCAGCAGATGCGTTGTCAGCATGTTTGCCATTCTAAGTTGTATAAAAAAATATCACTATTACATTATCATCATTCACACTAGCTTTTACCCGCGACTATCTTCGCATGGATGGGATATGTTTATTAATCGGTTTATAAAGTAGCTTATAACCATTTTCCATCAAATAAGAAACTTACTATAACGTTTATATCCAACTTCTTAATGAACGAATAAGCCGTTAAGGCGTTATAATGTGACAGACAAACGAACTAACTTAATTTTTTTATAATATTACTAAGAATTACCAATCTTAAAATTTAACGTAACAAGCACATTTGAAACGAGTACCTTATGATATTTATTTATTTAAACTTTAATGCACAGTAAAATTCTACGTACATTTGGCGGACTTAACACTGGACAATGTTCTCTACCAGTCGACCATTGAGCGAACAGAGAAATAAGTAGGCGGTGCATTATTGAATAGAGGAAAAATAAAGCAATATTTATTATATTTTGCAGTAATTTCACAATAATGGATCTGTTTCAAATGATTACATCGTAATGATGCGCTAACTGACTTGTCTTCATCCTCCCTCACCTATCCTCCCTCACTGGTACTCTGGAAAGCAGGGTTGCCATTCTATTTTTCACCCATAAAAAAGTTACTATTAAAAAAATCAACAACTTTGTCCTAAGGAATGGAAACGCTGTGTTGCCATTTTTTGTTGGGTATTACAATATTATAATATTATACTACTAATGTCTATAGGTGGCGTTTACCACTAAATTGTTTTACATGTATAATTCTATTTACTCTTAGATAAACTGCCGTTATACCCTGTCAAGTCAACCTCCACGTGGTTTTTTTAATGGATGAAAATGAAATGGTAACCCCGCCTGCGCTACCAGTACACGCTAGCGGGGCACCGGTGATAGATGATAGGTGATAATGAAGGCATATCAGTTAGTCCATCATGAAGAATTCAACAAGAATTAACCACGATACACACAAAATAAATATTTAATTACATAAAAGCAAGATAAAGAGGCAACAATGGGGAGCAGTAGTTACCACGCTTGGCAGGCGGATTGGCAACAGCCTTACAGCTGCCCCTGCCAGGCGTGGTAACTACTGACAAAACCCTTGGGGGGGGAGACTTACGTTCAGCAGCAGATAGTTCAAGGCTGATATGATGTACTTAAGTTTTACCAGAGGAAGACTTTGTAGAAAAGTCATTTGCATGAGCACCTCTGTCCCATTCGTGTTTCTACCGCGAAGCAGTTATGTTTGCATGGCTGTTTCGGTTTGAAGAGTGGGATATGGCAGTGAATTTATAGGGTACAGAGGAAAAACACCTGAGTCCTCAAGAATGGCAGCGCATGGGTGGTATCATGGGCGAAACAGTACACTCTGTTATGTACTTAGTACTGCTCATGTCTATAGGCGACGGTTACCACTTTCCATCAGGTGGGCCGTCAGCTTGTTTGCCATTCTAAATTGCATAAAGAAAACCTTAATAATAAAATGTTCATAATTAAATAAATAACATAATTACATTTTGTTCTGAATCAAGTGTCTATCTGAGATGAAGCCTTATTTCCGTGGAGTCTAGTAACTCTATCCGGGATCAGAGAGTATCTCTCGTGCCCTATCACGGAATTTAGCAATTTATATAGATAATTTACCGCGCCTGGGAAAGTAAATGTTTATCTTGAGAAATAAGAGACCTAATAGGTACGTGAACTATTTATTTCTTCATCTTGACACTGGTATCTCCATGGTATCTGCTTTTCAAGCAAATGTACTTGGTAGAACGTTTTCACCTTTACGTTTTGTTAAAAAACTATAGTTTTTTTTTTTTCAATTACATTACAATATCTATAAATAATATTCAAATTTGTATCAAACTCACCGGTAATGGTAAACATCGGTAACAAACCAAATTTCTTGTCAGCGAGGTGATAAACTCGCAGCAGTTTCATAAGTTTTAGTTAAGGAAATATTATAAACAAATGCGACCATAACTACCGCCATATCTGAGGTCATCACAGTTCAAACCTGGTAGGTATTTATAAATTGACGTTGAATGAGCGGAATGCCTTGGTCCTTCGGAAAAAAACATCCAAGATTAGCAAAGCTTTCGAGTCGAGCGGACTGGCTGGTATCTTACGCAAGCGGACCAGCGAGGAATTACCGGCAACGTTCTTGACACCACTCCCCTTGGATAAGACCTATTCGACCTCGGTACGACCCTGTATACCTATACATAGTTTCTAAATTTAAATCTAGTCTAGCCCAGTACAACTTGCTTTTGAAATTTCGTTGTGTGCCAAGTAATTTAAGAGCTAAACGTGACTGAGCACAAAATTTATGTATCATCATAGATAAAATATACCATGTAACATGTAGTAATTTTTAACTAAATTACTTGCCACTTCACTAAATCACTAAAGCAGTCTAACCAAGACTTTACGTTCAATACTCAAATTATTTTGAATTTGACTGCCAGCTACGCTTATCGAATTTCCTGTATTTTTTTTTTAATAGACAAATACTTGTTATAGAATAAGGTAAGGTTGAAAAAGGGGCATTTAATACAACAAAAAAAAAACACCGCGAAAACCATGTTTAAAGTCCTAAACGAAAGAAAACTGACGGAAAACATGTTCATCTAATTAAATTTAATATACATTTACAAGGTTGTAAAAAAATGTCCTGTGTTTTGAAATAACATCTGAGATTCGCAACATCGCCCGTCACTATTTGGCCAGTTCGCGTTTAACCGTATAGGATCCAAGTCGCGTGTTCACGTTAGCCAATTTGAACGGTACTCAATTAGAGTAGAGATGTGACATTTGTTATCTGTGAGATCGATGACATGACTTTATTTTTTTTTATTACTTTTCGCGCCAAATTTTTATGACTTTGTTCCTTTTTTAATACATTCCGCGGCATTTTTTTCGAATCAATGGAAAGTCATTATACAGCCATAAACATATACGAGTAATATTTACAAGCATTATTTTGTGTTAATACAATTTATATACTCAGTTTATCATGTTTATTTTCATCAAAATGGACAAATGGTGTGTGACATTTATTTGTATTTTTGCGGTGTGCCTTTGTGGAGGAGAAGACTCTACAAGCCAAAGGATCGAGGAAGGATACCCTAGAGGACTCATGTCAGTTTGTATGTGTAGCTTAAAAAATATTTGTATACTATCTGTCTCCTGTGGCTTTGCCCAAGTAAATTAACACATAAAGTATTCTATATGCTAAGTTAGGGTATGACCTACCCGTGTACCAAACTTCATTCAAATTCATTCAATAGTTTTTACGTGAAAATGTAACAATTATTCATCCATCCGTCCTTACAAATATTCTCATTTCGGGGGGAAAGGGATTGTTAGTAATGGAGACTGGGAATCCCATTGCTAGTAATATATCCAACCAGGTCGACCTCCTCACGGTTCTCCCTGGAAACTATCATGGTTAATTCCTGATGAATTCATCATGATGGGCTAACTGGCCTGTTTTCATTCTCATCTATCACCCTTCACTGGTGCTCCGCCAGCGTATCCATATAAAAAGAATACCTTGGTAGGCATATCAGGGTTAACAGATTTTTTTTTTTATTATAATGGCAAGCGCAAAAAAAAACTCAAGTTTTACCCGATGGGAAAAAATAACAACTAGTTAGTCGGCTATAGATATTAACAGCAATATGGATGTCACAGTATATACCAGGCGTGACCAACTGGTCAACGCGACTATTAGTCCAGTTGATAGTGGCAAGGCAAAAAATATAATATCTTGCTAATCTAGCGGAAGATGCTCAGACGCAATGCTCACACTAATATAAATAAGTAGTTACTAGGAATAATTTTCAGTTTTATGTTTTCCCTCTTAATAATATAAAAAATACTAGTCTATACTGGTCCAGTCAAGTCGGCCACCCCTGGTATATACTGTGACGCCTTGTGTGTGTAGCCTATGGTGTTATACATGTGTACTCTGTAAATTTACTACCATATAATACATTTCTTTCGTAAATTAAGAAGAGTAATTTTGTGCTTATATGACTCTATGGCATACGATGGGCCACATTTTCCTTTCCCGTGCGTGTCGTAAGAGGCGACTAAGGAAACTAAATGGTCGAGGGATGGGCAACAGCGTGCCTCTTAAAACATCTCTAAAGCCTAAATCCGCCTGCAAAACGTGGTAACTACTGAAAAAACCCCCCAAAGAGAAGGCTTATATTCAGCAATGGATTACTTAAGGCTGATATAGGATACCGATTCAACCAGTATATAGAACCAATATATAAATATTGCAACTTTTTTTTTTTAATAGGTGATAATGGAATGGTAACTCCGCCTGCGCTATCGGGATACGCTGGCGGGGCATCAGTGAAGAATGATAGGTGAGGATGAAGCAGGTCAGTTGGCCCATCGTGACGAATTCAACAAGAATTGTTCACGATGGTTTCCAGGGGGAACCACGTAGGTCGACCTAATAGGGCATATTGCTAGCAATGGGGCTGTCAAACTCCATTGCTAACAATCTCTTTCCCCCCTATAGCTATATATTATCCACCCCTTTTTTTTAACGTCTGGAAAATTCTTTATGCAGACCCATACACCTTGTGAGAGATGAATGGGTACTGTGAGAATCCCCCCATAAGGTGGGGGTGTACCCACCAAAAACCAGACGATATACCCTCTAGGTGCCATATGTCGGAGACATGGGTTCGCTTTCGCACTCACCACATCTCCGACGACAGCGACCCGCCCCCTGATGGTAAGAGCAGGTCTCCTCTCTCAAGATAGGGTGGCTGGCGTGCTCACCCGGGGGACTCGCCGGTATATTAGCACATCCCCCAGGACTATTGGGACAATACATTCCCACAGGTATCACCCCGACCCTACTGCAATGGGGGGAAGGAATTGTTAGTAATAGGGAGATTAGTCCCCATTGCTATCAATATACACCATCGGACCGACCTCCACGTGGTTCCCCCTGGAAACCATTATGACTAATTTATCGTTGCATTTGTCACGATGGGCTAACTGGCCTTTCCATCCTCACCAATCATCCCTCACTGGTCACTGCGCTATCGGTATACGCTGGCGGGGTAACCATTCCATTATCATCCATTAAAAAAAAAAGACCCTACTGCAATTCTGCATTTGTTAATAAAAAAAAATATATTATTCTGTGCTAATGAGCCAATTTACCAACATTGCAAATAGTTACCTTTACACAGAGATCAACAGATATTATGATTCATAAACATTTACCTCATAATTGATGAAATAATTAGCTGACCCGTCAAACGTTGATTGCCCCTACCGCCATCTACCGAGTCCATTTTCTCTTATCAGGATGATAAAACAAGCATAAAAACTAAGCATGGGCTATATGGATACCGATCCGATATCTATATATTGGGTTCCTCTGAACATTGATGAAGGAAAAATGTCATCACCCATTTGGATGTCGCCTATATCGGTCGGATATCTAAAGTTGCATAAAAAAGACACGTTTTAACATTATTGATATTGAAATTTTAATGAATACCAGAGGAAGTTTTAATACAAAAGTAGATTGCTTGAGTACTTCTGCCCTACTCGTGTTTTGCCGTAAAGCGCCCATAACATTACAAGGCTTTTTTTTATACGACTTAAAATGGCAAACAAGCTGACGGTCCACCTAATGTGACCGGTAACCGTCGCCTATAGACATGATCATTACCATGGACATAACAGATTATACTGTTTCGCCCATGATACCCCCCCCCCCCCCCCCGCTTTGCCATTCCTGAGGACTCAGATGTTATTCCTCTGTACCCAGTAAATTCACGCCATATCCCACCCTTCAAACCGAAACACAGCCATGCAAACACAGCTACTTCACGGTAGAAACACGAATGAGACAGAGGTACCCGCAATCGACTTTTGTACAAAGTCTCCCTCTGGTAAGGTATAGAGGCATAACAACATAGTTTGGCTTTCGAACCGTCTATTGCCCCATAAGGACTACCAAACCCTATATGAAACCTTACGCCTTGCATCAACATAAGGTCTATGTATGCTACGACAAATTATATATGATTTCACGGCGCGTTGCTTACGTATGTCACCGGAAACATATAAATAATATACAATACTATTTACGTTAGTAATTGTACATTATTTTCACTTCCTTGGTTTGACAGGCAACATAGCTGTTTATTAACCAACACACACGTCTTTGCCGAAAATTTTAAAGTATACTTTGTTCTGGAAAAAAAAACACCGACTTCCGTAATGACAAAACCAGTTATTTTAATTTAAAAATTAAAACATTGTATGTGTCGATTTGATACAATTTCTATTTTATAATAAATACACTATCGGAACTTAATATGATTACCTGGGGGATGTGCTAATATACCGGCGCATCCCCCGAGTGGTAGGGTGAGCACGCCATCCACCCTATCTTGAGAGAGGAGACCTGCTCTTACCATCAGGGGGCGGGTCGCTGCCGTCAGAGATGTGGTGAGTGCGAAAGCGAACCCATGTCTCCGACATATGGCACCTCGAGGGTATATCGTCTGGTTTTTGGTGGGTACACCCCCACTTTACGGGGGGATTCCCACAGTAGCCATTCACCTCCCACAAGGTGTATGGTCCCACAAGGTTATAAAGCATTTTCCAGACGTTAAAAAAAAAGGACTTAATACGATTAAAGTCTTGTCGTGACCACAACGTGGTGCAATCCACATCAAAACAGAGGCATTAAAGAAAAAAGTATTTAGATACTATTTACCTACAAAAAAATTTTTATCGCATTAAGTATTGATGTGTATTTAAAATATATGTAAACAACGCGAATTTTAATTATTAAATTAAAATTAAAAATTAAATAAAATTTCTATAATTTTTTTTATTACATTTGCCATGACATTTGAATGCAAATTATTGTTTATATCTTATTATGTACATGAAATGAAATTATATACTAAAGAATGTGTTTTTTTTTATACAACTTAGAATGGCAAACAAACTGACGGCCCACCTGATGGCAAGTGGTAACCGTCGCCTATAGACAATGAGCAGTACCATGGACATAACAGAGTATACTGTTCGCCCATGATACCCTCCATACGTTGCCGTCCCTAAACACTCGGGTGTTATTCCTCTGTACCCTGTAAATTCACTGCCATATCCCACCCTTCAAACTGTAACACAGTTGTGCAAATACAACTGCTTCACGGTTGAAACACAAATGGGACAGAGGTACCCAAGCAAACGACTTTTGTACAAAGTCTCCCTCTAGTAAGTGATGATAAGATCTAGTTTGGAGCGATCTTACCGAGAAGATACTTATTCCTTGTCGACTTAAAGATACCAAGATTATATTTCTTCGGGAACACAGAAGCAGAAAGGATATTTTATTCCTTAGCCTTCTTATGGGACCAAGATGAAAATATATTATTTGAAATAAAAAACAAATTCAAATCTGTTGATAACTGACGGAGTAATATAGTAACAGATATAAAACAAATGCAACCTCAGTTTCCCTTTCCTTTTTTTGAACTCGGTTAAAAACTTGGATAAATGACAAGAGAAATTATTTTATTAAATTGTACCGCTGAATAAAAGAATTTTTACTCTGTATTTCAGGTCCGGGGTCCACAAAACCTGCCACAATTCCCATCAGCCAACTAAAATACCTCGGCTTCGTGGTGCAAGGAAAGGAACGCAGCAGAAAGAAGTATACGTACTGGACAGCCGACAAGATAGCCAATGACGTCAGGATAGACTTTAACAGGTGAAGTTTACAAAAAGTTTGTTTTAAAAAAAAAAACATAATCTATGGCCATCATTATCAAGTCAGCCGGTAACTGTCCACTGCTGAAGGTAGGCTTCTCCTATTGGGGGGTTTGTCAATAGTCAGATAGACTTTCGAGATGGTTTAAGAGGTATGCTGCTGCCAATCCCTCGCCTTCCCATCGTCGCCTCTTACGACACACACAGGAAAGCATGGGGTGACTTATTCTATGGCAAGATCACACGGGAACCCTATTCGTGAGCACTAACATCAGTTTTAAGGAATGATTTCTCTCTTTTCATTTAAGAGTTACCTCTTGTCGGTGCAACTAATTCATGCATCTTCCTCCAGCCAGCTCTATCCCAGGCCATATCCTTGACCTCCCTATACGACATGACACCTAGTGTTTCCTTTATCTGTCCCATGTAGTATATAAACAATAGAGAATAGAATGATTTTTTAAGGAGCATAGTAGAAGGAAAAATAAACGGTAAAGGAGGAAGAGGAAGACCGAGGAATAACTACATGGGACTGATAAAAGGAATGAGTTATGTTAATTAAAATAATGTATAAATTTATTCTTTTTTTTTTTATACAACTTAGAATGGCAAACAAGCTGACGGCCCACCTGATAGAAAGTGGTAATCGTCGCCTATAGACATGAGCAGTACCATGGACATAACAGAGTATACTGTTTCGCCCATGATACCCCCCATGCGTTGCCATTCCTGAGGACTCAGATGTTATTCCTCTGTACACTGTATATTCACTGCCATATCCCACCTTTTCAAACCGAAACACAGAGATGCAGACACAACTGCTTTACGGTTGAAACACGAATGGGACAGAGGTACCCAACCAAACGACTTTAGTACAGTCTCCCTCTGGTGAATTATATTATATCCCTCTTATTCAATGATCTTGCAATATTACATTTCAGGAAGACGGTGCTGATCCTGCTGGGGTACCTGGACAGCAGCAACTTCCCCATCGCCTCCATGTTCGCCAACGAATACGAAGCGCTCGGCTACAACGTCATCATCATTGACAACCAGAGATTCGCCACTGTCCACTACTATTTGTAAGAAAATTACCTTATTATTCTCTTAAGAATGACAAAACATGAAAAGTGTGACGGGCGTCACAATATATTTTGTAATATTCATGTTGCTATGTTGCTGTTGATTTCTATAAACTATAGTAACCACTTCCCATCAAATAGACCGTCAGCTTGCTAACAGAAACTGGTTCATCATACTTAATTTCATAAATAAGGATATAAGAAAAAACAGGGACTTAGTGGGGAGAGTAATTTTTAGTACTGAGGATTAACAGCCCTATTGCTAGCAATTTATCCTGTCAGATCGATCTCCTTGCGACTTACCATAAAAACCATGGTGATTTATTTTTAAAGAATTCGTCTTAATGGGTTAACTTACCTGCTTTCATCCTCACCAATCATCCATCACTGGTGTCCAGCCAGTGAATACTGATAGAGCAAGTGAGGTTATTGTTCCATTACCATCAATTGATGGTAACGTAACAATATTTTTAAAATTATTTAATTAACAAATTTATTAAAAAAAAACAGTAATTACATCTCTGTTTTTTTTTTTAATTCAATTCTCTACTACTGAAACTAGGTATGATATGGTCTTATATTTTTACAATCCAGATATTAACATTTGAGAGCGTAGTTTAGAACATTCAAACCTCTGTCGATTTTTTTATTTATTAATTCACTTTTTTTCTAAAAGATAATATGTTATCGATAATCATTTACACATTATCTTTTATTAAATGTGGTTGTGTGGGTGTTTCATGTATTTCTAATTGATAATCCTGGTTAGTTGTCGCTTCAAAGACACCTAGACTTTTAGTCATTTATTTATCCAATATCATTTTAAAAGAAACGCAAAACGCTTATCATTAACACAGACTATATCAATAATTATTAGTAAATAGTTAAGTCTATAAATCTAGGAATTATGCTTCAATGTACTAATCATATTTAACAGGACAAACCTTCTTCCTTTTTCAGAGCGTCACGTCTCATGCGACCAGTTGGCAAGCACGTCGCAGAAGTTCTAGTCAAGCTCACAAACCTAGGCCTAGACCCGTCCAAACTAGAACTTCTCGGCTTCAGTCTTGGCGGACAAACTGTTAGTTACATCGCCAAAAATTACCAGCAAATGACAGGAATGAACATCTCCAAAATAACCGCTCTAGAACCTTCGGGCCCTTGCTTCAGGCATTTAGGGCCTGGTGATAGACTGGATGCTTCAGACGCTGACTTTGTCGAAGTTATACATAGCAATATAGACGGATATGGCATGGCGACAAGAATGGGCCATGTAGACTTTTACTTAAACGGTGGAGAGTACCAACCTTCCGATCTTTCGATGTACCCCTGTGTGTCGACGTGTAGCCATTTTCGAGTCCTACCTATATGGGTGTCGGCTATGAAAAACCAAAAAGGTTTCATAGCAATAAAATGCGATAGCATACAACAAGCTAGAGATTGCGACTGTTATAATAGAATACAATTAGAGATAAATTATCTTGGACCAAAAGTCATTAAAAGCAATCACGGTATTTTTTACCTTTCCACCAGTAAATCCTTTCCGTTTTACTTGGGTCAGGACGGGTTGAAAGCTGAATACGCTTCGTGGAGAAAAATCACTGACATCAATGAAGGAAATGAGACGGAAGTGTACACTTGACAAAATATATTCCTAGAAATGTTGGTCGTTTTATTTATTGGTGTTTACTGAACAAAATGCCTCTTCTATGCCGTGTGGTCCCGGCATACAATAGACCATCCTTTCTTTTCCCATGGGTGTCGTATGAATCAAATAAGGGAGGGCGAGGAATGGGCAGCAGCGTCCCTCTTAAAACATCTTTAAAAATAAGCTTCTGCAGGCGCTTGGCAGTTCACGAGGCAGGTCATCGTTTACGCTTGGCAGACGAGTTGGCAACCACAGTTGCTAACTCGCCTGCAAACCGTGGCAACTACTGGCAAAACCCTCCCATGGGGAGGCTTATGTTCAGCAGTGGATATTTAAATGCTGATATGATAACTAAACAAAAAATGTTTAATACCAAATTGTAAGGATGCCGGTTGCTAGCAGAGCCTTTGCCAAAAAAATCATGTTCACAAACAAATACTTCAGCAAATACTTCTGTGTTTTCGACTGGTGAATCATTTGACAATCGTAGCTCTAAGACGAAATATAGAGTTGTACCAAATTTGTGTTATTACAATCGACTTGCATCTATCGAATCACGAGGATGGGTCAACGACTACATCCATATACAGTAGTCTCTCTGCTCGCGTACAAATAAATCAACTCTTACGTGAACCGTACCATAAAAATGTTAACCCTTCTTTGCATAATGGTGGAAATTTCCATCATAACATTGAACGCTCAAAAATTATATAAAAGAACAAGTTCACTTCAAGTTGATCGTGTCTGGATACCTTTTTAATGTCCATTGCAGAAAAAAAACATAGCTGTCAAATTTATTTATTTAACCATTTTTCCTTTAATTTTAAACATGAATTATATCACTTGGATTTATTTCACCAATAAAAAAAAACATGCAAAGAAGGTTTAAATGGCCTCTCCCGTAACGCGTTTCCTTCATCATATAACCTCGAATCCTTCAAACGTTGCGAGAAAAAAATATTTAGTAAGCCAGCATAATGCGGTACCTATAACCTAGTTCAGTAAAAAAAAGAATTTAACGTTAATTAAATACATGGAATATGTTAATTGACGTAACTCATTCCTTAAAATTAATGTTAGTATTCATTAATAGGTACTCAATTTTTTTTTATTTCCTAGAATAAAATTTTTTATTCAACTCCATTCCTGAGGGCTAAGCTTTTTTTTTTAGATTTTTGTGACTGTGGTCATAACATGTTAACATTCATGCGTTGCCATTCTTGAGGACTAAGGCGTTTTTTTTTCTTTTTTTTTTTTAGTTAATATAGTTTTTTTTAGTTAAAACCATGGATATAACAGAGTATACTGTGTCGCCAATGACACAGTTATACTCTGATATCAAAAATATATTATTTTTAAAACTATTTATGAATATTAACACTTAGTCATATACACAAAATTATAATAAAATCCTATTACTAGCTTACCAGGCAAACATTGTTTCGCCCTCTATTGGTCCCTTATTAGTATAAAAGCAATCCCATCTCTAAAAAACAGAACACATTAAAAAAAAATCTGTAGAACTATTTTGGAGCTACACAGATAAATTATACGGCAACCAGATTGCTTGTAAACTTTGTTCGAAATTTCAAACGATTCTACAATTCGAACTATTTTCCAGTGGTGAACTCACGTTGGGGGGGGGGGGGGGCGAAAGTGACTGCCGCGGGCCTCTTGAACTATGAGGGGTGGGGGCGTCACCAAATGCCTCCATTTTTCTCTTCCATAATTATATTCTATGTATGTTTATTTAAGTCTTAATAAAAGTACACTTGCAAGGTTTAAACTAAATAAACACTTATGTGAATTGAATAAAAAGTTTGTAAATTTGCAAGAATTTCTTAAACTGGGCACCTCTTTAGTTATGCCGCCTCGGCCCCTAAAGGGCTAAGTCCGCCATTACTGATTTCTAATTTCACAGTTTCGGATGACAATCTAATTATCACAACATTGCTCTGCCTATTTTGTAAATGCCACCTATCGATTCATTTTCATAATAAATATTTCTCAGAATATACAACTATGTATATTAAGTTAGTACAAACTAAGCGGTGAGCCCCATTGCTAGCAATATACCCAACTAAGTCGATCTCTACTACTCCATTCATCGTGATGAGCTTTTCATCGTTATCTATAATCCCTCGTTAGTTCCCTGCCGGCGTATATCATTAGTACAGACGAGGCATTGCATTGTCATCCAGTAAAAAAAACTAAGCGATGAAACGCCTTACATAATTATAATAACAAAAATTCACACCCATATGCATTTACAGCTGCTATAGATAGACAAGTACGATTTAGCGAATCGTTTAAAAATATATTCGTGGACCAAAGATTTCGTAAGTAATTTATTTTAAGCATTTGTTGTCATGCTGCTTACGTCACCCGCTAACTAATACCTAGATCAGAGAATAATGCAAAAAATAAATCTTTGATAACTAGGATCTATAAGCTGCAACAAGAATTAAAAATAATTGAACGCAACCTTACTTACAATTCTTGCTATATTAAAAAAAAACTGCCAATTTTAAGCGAAATAATTAAAGAGGGGAAAAAATATTACAATTAAAAATTATATTGTATATAATAATTATTACTTAGTAAATTATTAACATAAATAAAAATTTATTTACGATTCAAAATTACTCGATATTAAAAGTATCTAAGAGGTGTTTAACGATTTGTGTCAGTGTGCCGAAATTTTAATACTAATGTTAAACTAAATATGAATGAAAATATAATATATGAGCTATAAGTATATAGTTTAAAAAAATTGCATTTCCAAATGATTAGGCAAATTGTTATTTTATTCAAAGCCACTTATTGTTGAGTAGAAAATTAACTCCACTTGACAATATATGACAGAAAAAGTATGCTAAATTGCTAATAAAAGATTATAATGGAATACAAAGCAAGCTGCAAACACTGCTAGTTGAGGACCTATATATCATAATAATTGCTTTATGCACCTATTATATACGAATATTACGATAACCTTAGGTTTGTAAATTATTATTATTGCAACACTGATTCGAGTATTGTCAGTTTGTCGCAATGACGCAAGCTGACAAGAGAAGGAAGTAAAAAAATCCTTGATTTTTCAATCTTTCAAAATGGTGTTTTCTCGCGCGTTTCCTTCTAAATTTAATCAATTAAATTAAAAATGAACTTAACAAAACGTTTTTAACACGTCAGTATAGTTATAACGCGTACAAAAAATAGATTCTTCAAAAATTCCACTAGCGATATATACGACAAAAAAAATATTGAGTGCGTGCAGCATTGTAATAAATTTTAACTGTGATGTTTGTGATCTGTTGTTTGAATTATTTTACGTAAGTACACACAATTAATTAATTTTAATACATTACTATTATATTACTGTTGTGTTTGTAATAACTGTTTCTTACAGAAATTTCGCTGCTTATCATTCAAGACTACCGCAGTGTAAAGACCTATATTATGGTCCTTACAATGTTTACTCGCTAGTTTCGTCACACTAGCATTGTAGTTCACTCGTTTTCCTACTACATAGCTTTATTCTTACCAGTTTTTCCTATAGGGCATGACATTAACGCGTAAGAGATATAAATAAGTTACGAAGCCGTATCTATTTTTTCCTTGGCCAGTTGGCATTCGTAATATTTTGATATGTAAACTCAATATATATTTTATCGCTAATCTCGTTACAGATTGCACTAATTTCATCTTTACGATTCGGTTATTTAGGTTTATTATTGTGCAGCATATATATACTTCCTGCACTGTACAATAGTGATTTTTATCTATAAATGTATTAGATATGTCATTGAAATCTGCCGACAGTATTATTTAAATTATTAGTACAGTTTTATCTTTACTTTTTGATCAGGAAAATTATTTGACTTTAATAGATATACATACAGTGCCTGGCCTGTTATGAAATGTACTAATGGATCATAATTCTGCCTGGAGAAGATTTGCCTTGACTCTCTGGAGCTGGTCTGCATGTATGAGCCAAGTTAAGAAAGTAAATGAAGCAAAACATGAATCTTTAGATACATACAGTTGCCACTCAGTTCTCTCTGCTTACCCCTTTAAAGACCTAAAGTGAATGTAGGCATATATGTTTCTAAGAGAGTTATTTTACTTTCAAGCTCAAAGAGTATGCATTTGATATGAGATGACATTGACTCAAAAATTAAAAATAGGTCAATTTAGTCATTGTATGCAACCTTTCAGTTACAGATATTTGTTATATTAAGGCTTGTACTATTATATATTTTGATATCTCTACACCAACAAATTACCAATTAATATCTCACAACTGAGAATAGATCTCAACCCCAATAGAGGGAGATATGGGCTTACAATTACCATACTGTTCGGGCAATTTTGTGTAGTTTTCTTGTTTTTTGAAATGCATAATCTCTTGCAATGATTTATGGTACTTTGTTAATCACCTTTATAGCATCATGGGGTATAAAAACATTGGTAAAACCTTTTTACTTTAAATTTTTTCAACCATTAACATTACAGACATCTCAACAAAAATTATATTGAAATTTTAGTAGAAATTTATTATATATATATATATATATATATATATATATTGCAGGGAGTTAGTGAGTGCAGGTGCCTCAGGACTGTTCTTCATGGCAGTCTATGGCTTATGTCCAGCAGTAGATGGATAATGGCTGAAATAATGATGATGATATATATATACTAGTCTTACTTCATCCTTTTTTAGGGAAAAACCCAAATCCACATAAAAACATTTGTCCTACTCTACATTTCAATTAATATCATGTCGATACCTAATTCATTCATTCATTACCCTAGATTTTATAATATAAATTAAATTCATAGATGGTGCTTGTGTTTATAATAATAATTAAGTATTAATGATTAAAATTGTGTTTTACAAAAAAAAAAAAAGACTTCAGTTGTGACAAAATATTATTTAAAAAGTTATTTTAAATAATATTTTAATCAGTTATTTTTATTTAAAAACTAAACTGCTGAATCAGTTTTAATA